CTGTCAGAGGCCTTACACCACGCCTTCCTGGAGGGTATGGTGTGTAGCGGGGCCGAGGACCTCAGTCTCCTCTCCTCTGAGGACCTACACAGTCAGGGCAGCAAGAGTGATAATGAGTCGGGTCTGAGCAGAAGCACGGAAGGTTCTCTTAATGAGAGGACCAGCAACAACTGTGTTTTCTCTGAGTTGAGGGAAACCTTGAAAACAAATTTAGAAACTCCACTACACTGCCACTCCCTACTCGTGCCCACCATCTCCACCAGGTTAAGAACCTACTCAGAACTGTCTGACGTAGGTACTGACGACGACAGCAGCTCCCAGCACAGCCAGGAGGAGAAACACGAGTGTCAATCATCCCACGAACTGGAACCCAGAAACCTTTTTGGGAACCTTTTCAGCTCCCGACGGTCATCCCTTGCGCCCCCGACTGATGACTCCAAGGTGGACGACACGGCCCTACACCCGAGCCCTAAACTAAAGGTGAAAGATGTCCTGGCCTCCCCCAACACCCTGGAGCACGGAAAGGGACACAAGAAACTGGGTGACAGACTGAGCAAAGTGGCAGAGGTAAGCTGTAGTGAGTAGCGTGCTGGGTCAGGCGAGATGTACCGCGGTCACAGGAGGAGGTAAGGTGGCGGCTGGTATGTGGTAAACACTTGATTATGTGAGTGTATGTCTCTCTTCATGGTTCCGGAGTGTGTAAATAACAGAATGTGTAATTAATGATATATTTACCTGGCTCATCTTCTAAGGTACAGATCACAGTCATTTCCACTGTAAATTAAAAGTTTGTTGTTTATTCAGGTAAATGTTCACACATGTTCTCAGTAGTTGATCAGGTATGTAAACAATGCAGGTATACAATAGCAAACAATAAGTCGAATATTTCACCAAATATCAGAAATAATACAGTTTATCTTACCTTCTGTAATGGTATATCTGGTACAGTACATTATCCATCACTAAACGGGGGGTACTGTAGTGTATGCTGTAGTCTGAGGGCTGGCGACTGCCTCCAATGTTAAGTCACCACCAAACCTGCCAGTTACCAGTCTCCACCAAACCATGCCAGTTAAGTGTCTCGTCTCGTATTAACTGGATCATTTCGTCTCCTCCTTCAGTACCTACAGCGGGGAGGTTCTCGCCTGGCGGAGCAACAGAGGCGGCTTAAGAGTCAGATCTGGAGCTCCGTCGTCACCATTGTATTAGTCGAGGGAAAGAATCTTCCTATGGACCCCGATGGCACGTCTGATCCCTACGTTAAGTTTAGGTAAGTCTAATTTCCATATTATACTTGTACAGTGTTCCTAAATCTGACCAAATTTAATATATCAACGTCTTAAAGTCTTTATTAATTATCTTTTAAGATTATTAGGCTTTGTATTTTTATCTTTACAATCCCTCGAATAATAAGACTTTGCAACCTTCTCAATTTCATGCGAGTTCTTTAATTGCAATATTTTTTTTAAGTTTTTGCAACTTCTGTGTATAAATAAGTCTTCTTTGCCATCTCTTAATTCTCCTTTGTAATAATTCATATTTTTCTTTGTATTTGACTTTTATTTTGGTTATTTATGTCCGTCAACTTTACGACAAATCTAATTAAGGTTTTACATCTGGAAAAAAAAAAGGTTCCCCTCCCTCGGCCGACAAGTTTGTTTTGATTGACTATTACTTTTTTCTGATTGGTTCGTGAATCAACCAACTGGAGACAAGAATTGTTAGTTTGTGCCCGTTATCCCTATACGTAACAACACGGAACTAAGTAACACTGCAGTAACACTTATTTATACGCCATAAAGTATTAAAAAACATGAATACCGAAATACAAAGATATCACAGTCGCACACACAAAACAGATTCTCGACTTTGTGGTGTTTCCCCGGTGTGACTTCCTGCGGACGTTTTGAGCGTGACGTCACAAGTAAACTGAGCGACAGGAGACAACCTCACCCGTAACCCCTCCTTCCCCATGCCCCCCTCTCCCTTCATGGCCCCTCTCCTTCATGGCCCCCTCTCCCTTCATGCCCCTCGCCTCCTCCCCCTGCTGCCTCAGTCCTTCAACAATGGAAATACTCGAAATAAATTCTCCTTTTTGTTTTCATTCTAATTACATTTTTATACATATTTTTTTAATCATAGAAGACTAGAAGTGTGATTCATCCCATTGTTTTCCTCGTTTCAGACTCGGTAATGAGAAGTACAAGAGTAAAGTGGAACTACACACTTTGACGCCCAAGTGGTTAGAGCACTTGACTTTCACCTGTTTGAGGACCAGAGTCAGATCTTGGAGATAACTGTGGGAAGGATGTGAGGAGTAAAGACGATTTTATGGGCAAGTAAGTGAATGGTACAGTCGCCATTTGGGGATTTGTATTTATTTTTTTCGGGTTAAGCTCGTTAAGGGGATAAGAATGTTTAATGTTAAAGGAATATTTAAGGGGAATGTTTAAGAAAGTTTAAGGGGATAAGAATGTTTAAAGTAAGGACATATGGCTTTACACTAGTCAGTATTTTTATTTTATGCTTAACCTAACCTTTTGAAAGTCACATTAAGATGATTCATCTTAGAGTGAAATAAACTCGGGTGTCTAATTTTCAGGTAACCCATTGTAAACATGAAAACTATAGGGAGACCTTATATAATGGACCCTCGCTATAATGGACTTTGAACTCTGTATGGTTCGTTAGATTGAGGTTTCACATCTAACAGACCCTTAATATAATGGAATTTCCTCTCCATATAGTCCATTAAATAGAGGTTTAACTGTATACTATTTAATATGAGATTTTGGTGGTCCGTATAAGATGAAATAATGGTCCTATATTTCTTTACAGGTGTAGTTTAGACGTAACGCAGTATGACCGAGAAAAGACGCATCATGTATGGGTGATTGGACAAGAATGCTGGTCTTCCCACTCACACTATCTCAGGCACAACTTCCTCAGAAACTATATCTGATCTTCTGAGTTACCAAGAAAACCCCAGGGAATTGAGAGCATATCAAACAGATACGTAAGTTTTGCAAATTTAAGAAATTCTTGTCTATATTTGTTTCTGTTAAGAAATGGATGTATTGTTGCTTCCAATTATACCTGGTACAGTGGGTGATGCATTTTGTGTGATGTATAAACTCCACAGGAATGCTTTATTGTCTGCTACTGTGTTAGCAGGTTCCTTTGGGCCATTCTGGGAGTTTTAATACTATGTAAACAAACACAGGTGCACATCTTGCAATACATGCCAGCCACTGTACCAGGTGTAAGTGCCAGTGACTATACTTTGTTCTTCCATATAATGTAATGCTGTTTTAATGTGATATTTATGTACTACTGTGCCCACTTTTTGTAAATTAGGTTTGTACTGTTTTACTCGTATATTAAAAAGGAAAACTTTCTTCCCAACACAAAATATCGAGAATATTGGTCTTAGATGAAAGTACAATTTATAATTTTCTTCCGTTAGAGAATATCAAGAACACTTCACAACCTGAAAGACATCGGCCACCTGAGAGTTAAGATATACAAGGCTCAGGGTCTGGTGGCTGCTGACATTGGTGGAAAGAGTGATCCCTTCTGTGTATTGGAGCTTATTAATGCAAGACTTCAAACTCAGACAGAGTACAAGACACTATCACCTAACTGGAACAAAATATTTAGCTTGTGAGTAATTTTATATTTTGTAGTCTTAAATATTGATGGTGGTTATAATAGCAATATTTTATTCTTCGAAAATTAATAAATGTAAAAAAAAAAAGTTACTCAAGGTCAATATGGAACTGTACAGTCAGACAAAGGTTTGCTCTCTTGTGAAACTGATGGTGCTATTTACAGTCGTGTGACGTTATTCAGTGAAGCCTACAAACCCCAAGGCTGGCCTGGTGGATCAGGTTTCCTATCAGGATCGTTGGAACAATTCACTGGGCAGTTCTGATGAATATATCGTCTTCTTTTCACATACATGCCAATATTGTCAATTGTTTAAGTGTTAAATAATCCTGGGTGATCAAGAATGTACAACCGTGCATCAACAAACACCGCGCCACCAATACTAGATAAGTGCTGCTGGTAAAAAGCAGAGCATCTACTTGTAGAGAATCTCTAAATAAACGTTGCCTGTGTATAATAGAGATAACCCAGGTCAATGTACAGTCACCTCAAAAGTAATAGTAAAAAAATAAACTAAAAAAAATAAAATATGATTTTGAATTTCCAGGTGATGATGGCATATTAATGTAGTTCTCAGGGAAGAATGTCATTCTTAATACACACTGTAAGGAAATTATGCCCCTCATCATTGATACTAGCTGTATGTTTGAAAAATATTTCTAAACACCAGTTGTCTTGCATCATACACCCGTTAGTTTAGTTCTTTAATTCATAATTTCCAACATTTACCAGCATACTACCTATTAAATCTGCCTCTTAATTATGACCTGGATTACCCAGTGTTAGCAGAGGAGGAAACCAAAGTACCCAGAGAAAACCTGCAACATTTGGTAGGGTCCCAACAACACTATGCTCGTATCTAACCTGGGGACTAAACCCAGGACAAACCAGAGAGGCAGGATTTTAATTAATGCACTACCCTGCTTGTTATAGATAGAATGAGTAAAGTACCGTATCCTCACTACACCATGTATGAAAGGATCTCAACTGTATACATACCTTCCCTACACAATATATAAAGGATACTCACCTTACACTAATCTAAGCTGAAAAAAAAACTCTGTTCTAAGCTGATTATTTTTATAAAGAAAAAAAACCTGATGCAATAGTTCTTATGAGTGAAAAAATTTGTAATACGTATTTTGTGTATTGTTTTAGGATAGAATAAAATGACTGAATAAAGATTGTCTTAACTGAAGGAGACAAAGAGGAAACTATACCAGAGCCTTCAATAATAAATTGATATATTAATGGAAAGACTCGAAAAGATAACGGTGGTTAACGAAGAATAAGACACAAAAACGGCGGAAAAATTACTCCAGCAAATTAGTGACCGAATCATACGTAAGGTTACAGCCAGTCTAACAAAAGTGATCGATAAAGCTTTGGGTAATATTGTCCAGGAAATTTAATAAGAACTGCAATCTTTAAAAATCAGTATGAGTAATGCAGTTCATGTGGTATAAGACAGTTAACATGGACAAAGTCAAGTCCAGGGAGAGATACAAAATTCTCTGCTAAAAGATATGTACGATAATATGCCAAGACATTACGTGAGCAGTGACTCTGAGGACAGGAGTTACCAAAGTACTGGGCTGCTTGAGGAGGAGCCACAGAACAACATTCTTACTGGCTGTTAAGTTTCATCCTTTAGATAAAATACCAGTCTAGAGTTTGTTAAAAAAATTGATTTTAAAAAGCCAGGTGGAGCAGAGTTACGAAACCAACGAAGAAGTGCGTGAAAGTCGACAAGGCCAAAACTAATTACAGGTTGACACAAGTTCTGCATCAGCCAACACTGGTACAGCAGAGTTCAGGAAAAAAATATTTGCAATCCTTGAAGGTTAAGGAAAAATACAAAAGCAAAATAAGAAGGAAAAAATGGCTGAAAATACAGAGAGATTTTCAAAGTCCATCTGAAGTTTTCTCCCTGCCATGGGCGCCAACAAGTCACACACTGAAGTCTCGCACATTTACAGTACAGTACCACCAAAACCAAACTCTCCGGAGACTAATTTCCCCAAACTTAGTGGAGATAGTTGACTAATAATTAACACTTATTACAGTATGGTGATTTAGCTGACATACACTATTTACTCTTTTTATTTTTACCAAAATTCTTATTAATTATTTTAGTCTTAGTTATGGGAATGGGTCTCTAAACTTGCTTCTCCCGACTCAACTGATGCAGATGTGCCGTTTCATTTCCCTTGGAGTTGATGCTGCTTCAATTTGGAGAGGAGATGGAGGAACTTTTGACCCCATCACGGATGGGAGCGAATAATAATGACAAGTTTTCATGCTGATTTATATTATTCTGTTTTTTTTTTCTTTCAGTAACGTCAAAGACATTCACAGTGAATTAGAGGTGACAGTCTATGATGAGGACAGGGACCATAAGGTGGAATTTCTCGGTAAAGTCGTCATTCCTTTACTCAAGATCAAGAATGGTGAGAAGAAATGGTAAGTATCGGAGAATGAGATGATTATACAGTACACTTCTTTTTAACTCGAAGTTGAAAATTTTTTAATCATTGTCCTCGGTGTTAAAGAATTGTCCTTAAATAGTTACTCCATCATATGCATTTGATTAAACTGGTGTCCTCAAGTGAAGCTAAGTAGCTGTAATTTCCTAGGATCATAGCCATTATTTTACTGACGGAAATAGTGTTCGACTTGGACAAATTTTACCTTAATAGTAAATATACAATGCAGTGATACTTCTTTTTTAATGAACTATATAGAGAGAGGGAAGTCCATTATATCGAGGGTCATTTATATGTTAAACCTCCATCTAACAAACTATATAGAGATGGCAGTCCATTATATTGAGGGTCCGTTAGATATGGAACGCCCCCCATAAAACGAATTACATTACTGTATATGGAGAGAGAAGTCCGTTATATGGAGGTTTCACAGTACACTACAATCATTTCCTATATCTCTCATGATCTTGGGAGAAAATGAAAGCTTAAGAAACATCTACTGTATAGTGAGAATAATGACTCTTTATCATTTCTCAGGTACTCCCTAAAGGACAAGAAATTAAGAGCGAGAGCCAAGGGAACTAATCCTGAGATCCTCCTAGAGTGTTCTGTTGAGTGGAACCCAGTGAGTGATCTTTGTGGTCAAGTGTATCTGTAGAGTGAGTGTGTGTGTGTGGGGGGGAGGGGTATAAGTGTGTGTAGTTTGTGTGTGGGAGGTGTGGGTGTGTGTGTGTGTGGGGAGGGGTGTGGGTGTGTGGTTTGTGTGTGGGGGGGTGTAGGTGTGCGGTTTGTGTGTATGAGGTGTAGGTGTGTGTAGTGTTTGTGTGTGGGGGGTGTGGGGTGTGTGTAGTGTTGGTGTGTGTGTGTGGGGGGTGTGGGTGTGTGGTGTTTGTGTGTGGGGGTGTGGGTGTGTGTGGTGTTGGTGTGTGTGTGTAGGTGTGTGTGGTGTTGGTGTGTGTGGGGGTGTAGTGTGTGTGTGTGTGTGGGGGGTGTGGGGTGTGTGTGTGTGGGGGGGTGTGGGTGTGCATGTGTGTGTGAGAGGTGTAGGTGTGTGGTGTTTGTGTGGGGGGTGTGGGGTGTGTGTGTTTGTGTGTGGGGGGAGTGTGGGTGTGTGTGTGGGGAGGGTGTGGGTGTGTGTGGTTTGTGTGTGAGGGGGTGTGGGTGTGTGTGTGTGGGGTGTGGAGGTGTGTGTGTGGGGAGGGTGTAGGTGTGTGTGGTGTGTGTGGGGGGGGTGTGGGTGTGTGTGGTGTTGGTGTGGAGGGTGTGGGTGTGTGTGTGTGGGGTGTGGGTGTTGTGGTGTTGGTGTGTGTGTGGGGTGGTGTGTGTGGTGGGTGTGTGTGGGGGGTGTGGGTGTGTGTGTGGTGTTGGTGTGTGGGAGGTGTGGGTGTGTGTGGGGGAGTGTGGGTGTCTGTGGTGTTGGTGTGTGTGTGGGGGTGTGGGTGTGTGTGGTGTTGGTGTGGGGAGGGGTGTGGGTGTGTGTGTGTGGGAGGGTGTGGGTGTGTGGGGAGGTGTGGGGTGTGTGTGGGGAGGGTGTGGGTGTGTGTGGTGTGTGGGGGGGGTGTGGTGTGTGTGTTGGTGTGTGGGGTGTGTGTTGGTGTGTAGTGTTGGTGTGGGGGTGTGGGTGTGTGTGTGTGGGGGTGTGGTGTCTGTAGTGTTGGTGTGTGTGTGGGGGGTGTGGGTGTGTGTGTGTTGGTGTTGTGTGGGGGGTGTGGGGTGTGTGTGTGTGGTGTTGGTGTGGGGGGTGGGTGTGTGTGTGGGGGTGTGGTGTGTGTGGTGTTGGTGTGTGTGTGTGGGGTGTGGGTGTGTGTGTGTGTGGGGGGGTGTGTGTGTGTGGGGTGTAGGTGTGTGTGTGGGGAGGGTGTGGGTGTGTGTGTGGGGAGGGTGTGTTGTGTGTGTGGGGAGGGGTGTAGGTGTGTGTGTGGGGAGGGTGTGGGTGTGTGTGGTGTTGTGTGTGGGGGGAGTGTAGGTGTGTGTAGTGTGTGTGTGGGGGTGTGGGTGTGTGTGTTGGTGTGGGGTGTAGGTGTGTGGTGTTGGTGTGTGTGTGGGGTTGGAGGTGTGTGTAGTGTTGGTGTGTGTGGGGGGGTGTGGGTGTGTGTGTAGTGTTGGTGTGTGTAGTGTTGTGGTGTGTGTGGGGTATGGGGTGTGTGTGGTGTTGGTGTGTGTGGGGGTGTGGGTGTTGCAGTGGTGTGGGGGGTGTAGGTGTGTGTGCTTTGTGTGTTTATTGGGGGGTGTGGTGTGTGTTTGTGTGTGGGGGGTGTGGGTGTGTGTGGTGTTGGTGTGTGTGGGGGTTGGGTGTGTGTGGGGTGTGTGTAGTGTTGGTGTGTGTGGGGGGTGTAGGTGTGTGGTGTTGGTGTGGGGGTTGTAGGTGTGTGTGGTGTTTGTGTGGGGGTGTAGGTGTGTTTAGTGTTGGTGTGTGTGGTGTGGGGTGGTTGCAGGTGTGGTAGGGGTGTGGTGAGTGTGTTTGTGTGTGAGGGGGGTGTAGGTGTGTGTGGTTTGTGTGTGTGAGGGTGTGGGTGTGTGTGAGGGGTGTGGTGTGTGTGCTTTGTGTGGGGAGGGTGTGGGGTGTGTGTGAGGGGGTGTGGGTGTGTGTGCTTTGTGTGGGGTGTAGGTGTGTGTGCTTGTGTGTGTGTGGGGGGTGTGGTGTGTGCTTTGTGTAGGGTGTGGGTGTGTGCTTTGTGTGTGTGGGGTGTAGGTGTGTGTGGGGTGTGTGTGTGTGTGTGGGAGGGTGTGGGGTGTGTGTGGATGTGTGGTGTGTGTGTCTTGGGAGGGTGTGGGTGTGTGTGCTTTGTGTGTGTGAGGGTGTGGGTGTGTGCTTTGTGTGGGGGGTGTGGGTTTGGCATTTTGTGTGTGGGGGTGTGGGTGTGTGGGGGTGTGGTGTGTGTGCTTTGTGTGGGGAGGGTGTGGTGTGTGTGCTTTGTGTGTGTGGGGGGGTGTGGGTGTGTGTTTTGTGTGGGAGGGTGGGTGTGTGTGCTGTGTGTGTGTGAGGGGTGTGGGTGTTGTGTGGGGGTGTGCGTGTGTGCTGGGAGGGTGTGGGGTGTGTGTGGGGGGTGTGGGTGTGTGTGCTGTTGTGGGAGGGTGTAGGTGTGTGTGCTTTGTGTGTGTGGTTAGGTGTGTGTGTGGGGTGGGGTGTGGGTGTGTGTGCTTTGTGTGTGGGGGTGTGGGTGTGTGTGGGGGTTGTGTGTGCTTTTGTGTGGGGTGTGTGTGTGTGGGGGTGTGGGTGTGTGTGCTTTGTGTGGGAGGGTGTGGGTGTGTGTGCTTTGTGTGTGTGGGGGTGTGGGTGTGTGTGCTGTGTGTGGGAGGGTGTGGGTGTGTGCTTTGTGTGTGGGGGTGTGGGTGTGTGTGGGGGGTTGTACGTGTGTGTACTTTGTGTGGGAGGGTGTGGGTGTGTGTGGGGGGTGTAGGTGTGTGCTTTGTGTGTGTGGGGGTGTGGGTGTGTGTGCTGTGGGAGGGTGTGGGTGTGTGGGGTGTAATGTTTGTGTGTGTAGTGTTTGTGTGGGGGATGTGTGTGTGTGTGTGTTTGGGGTGGGTAGGGAGGTGTTTGTGTATGGTGGGATGTGTGGGAGGGGTAAGTGTTTGTATGGGTTGTGTGGGTGTGTGGGAGGTGGGTGTTTGTAATAATAATAATAATATATAATTAACGGTTTATTGAAAAATTCTGCAGCCCGAAGGCTGAAAATATACATTGGATAAATGACTTATTACATACATTGGTGGTTTAAAAAAGCCTTCATTAGAAAGGTAAAGACATACAGTGAACATACAGATTAATGTAGGTGTTGAACAGCAAACCGTGGGTGTAGTAACTCCCTCACAGGTGGTGTTATGAGGGCACATCCGTGTGTGTAGTTCCCTCAGATGGTGTTAAGGGACCTGGCGTGGTGTAGTAATTCCCTCGCAGATGGTGTTCTGAGGGCCTCACGTGGTGTAGTAATTCCCTCACAGATGGTGTTCTGAGGAACTCACGTGGTGTAGTTCCTCAGATGGTGTTGAGGACCTGGCAATTCCCTGCAGATGGTGTTATGAGGGGCCTCACGTGGTGTGTGTTCCCTCTGAATGGTGTTATGAGGAGGGACCTCAATGTGTAGTAATTAATTTGCCAGATGGTGTTATGAGGGGCCTGACGTGGTGTAGTAATTCCCTCACAGATGGTGTTATGAGGGACCTCACGTGGTGTAGTAATTCCCTCACATATGGTGTTATGAGGGACATGTGGTGTAATAATTCCCTCACAGATGGTGTTATATGAGTGAGGTTTGGTCTTAGGCCTTCCTATCGTAGACGGATTAACACATCGCTGGTTGTTGTTGGGTCTCACGGGCCGTTATCACTGGGTACCTGGGACCTCACTGTGTGAAGGTTAACTTGGGTACGACTGTTACTGTTGAGTTGTTCTCACTGACTTAAGCACTGTTCACCACTGTTCACCTCTGTTTAACACTGGTTCTGTTCCTTTCCTAAATGAAATTGTAACTTCTGGCGAGAACTTGTTGATATTCCGGTGGGGAGGAGGGTTCAGGGGAGGGGGTTGGTATGGGCCAACTTAACAGTTGACCTGGCTGCTCCGAGAGGAGCGCCAGGTACGTCTTGACCCTTCGGTGGTCAAGGATGTGTGTGTGTGTGGGGGGGGGGGTAGATGCTTGTGTATGGGTGGTGTGGGGGAGGGGGTGTGTGTGTGTGTGTATCTACCATGTATGTATGTATAAACTAATTGTTGTCTGTGTCTGTCTGTCTGTCTATCTATCAGAAGGTGACAGCTAGGAATGTCGTCATAATTGAATATCTCCTCTTCTTCCCAAGGTACGTGCTGCCGTGAGAACGTTCACCCCAAAGGAAGACAAGTATATGCAGGTGGAGCAAAAGTTCAAACGCCAAGTGTTCATTACGAATGTGAATCGCCTTAAGGCCTGTATCATGGACGTGTATGATATGGGGATGTTTATCAAGTGAGTGTGTTGGGAGCATCAGTTGGGTTAGATTAGGTTAGGGGGAGAAAGATCGGAATAAGACAGAAGGTTAAGGGAGAGAAAGACAGATATAAGATATACTAATTAATTACAATCCTTTGACTATACTGTATTATCACACTGACTGGCCCAAAGTGTCTGTTTTAAGAATTTATTACGTAGTCTGACTATGTTAACATGTTAACTGACCCAGGTACAATCTTTTGACTATACCGTACAGTATTGTCATGTTTAGTGGCCTAAAGTGTCTTCTCTACTAAGTAATTACAATATCTATCTTTATTATGTTAACTTGCCCAAATACAATGTTTTCACTATATACGGTATTATCGTGTTAACGGCCCAAAGTGTCTGTTGGACTTGTATGAATCCATTAAAATCTCTGGTTGTGTATTTTCTCTCACACTTTACATTACTTTTTCAGGTCATGCTTTGAGTGGGAGTATCCAATCAGAAGTACCCTAGCTTTCATTCTGTTTATGGTGGGAACGTATTGCTTTGAGCCCTACATGATTCCCATCATTCTGCTGACCTTGTATCTAAGAAACTACATAGTAAGTCTAGAGTATAATAATTTTTTTTTCAGGATTTCTGTAGACTAAAGTTACTGTTGTTGTTGTGTGTTCTTTGTTTTATGTGTAGAGTGAATTAAGTGGGGTACAGAAACATGTCAACCCTTTGAGTCCTGGATGGTTAAATCATTAGTCTCCAAAGGATTAAATTACTGTCCTCAAAGGATTAAATTATTGTCCTCAAAGGATTAAATTATTATTTTCTTTCAGTAATTATTTATCATTTATTTTATTCCCTTCTTGCTTTTATTTCCTTTATTGTTTAGTTATCATTAATTACTATTTATCATATAATTATTATTAATTATTTCCGAACACTAGGGTAAACAGGCTTGAACAACATGTAAGAAAAGGTACATTATTGTTTACATCCGCAGATACTGTCAATAGTGGGCACCATGATGCACCGAGAGGACGATAATGACTTGTCCGCAGATGAAGACGATGTTGATGATGACGACAAAGACAAGGTACAGTGGATGATCGCACGGCAGACTTGTTTACGTGTGTCTCGGAGCTTTATTGTCTATGTGTGGTCGTTAAGTGATAAGTGGAGAGTTAGATGTGGGTAGTTTTGTGTTGATGTAGAAAGATGTCCTCTCTCTCTCTCTCTCTCTCTCTCTCTCTCTCTCTCTCTCTCTCTCTCTCTCTCTCAATTACTTTAGTCGACACAGTATGACCAGCTGGGATGAAGATTTAGGAGAAGGATACACACACATTACTGCAGAGGAAGAGATTGAAGGAGAAAATGGATTTGAAATAAATAATTCACCAAGGCTAAAAAAAAAAAATCCCTGTGCATAGGAGTGAGTTGCGTACAGAGAATCACACTCTGGACTTTGTGTCAGGACTGTGCTGAGGTTGGAGTATATAAAGCAACTTCCATGACACACTCTGCTAGATGTTATTGAATAAATAGACTGCTATTTATTATACGTACTGTAGAATATGCTGTATGTTATAGATAAGGATAGGACCAACCTTAGAAAGATAGATTAGTAGTTGCAAGATGGGAAAGAATGCTACTGCTTGCTTCATTAATTTTATGTAATTATTTCTCTTGAGAATTTGTGTATTGGATGATATGGCTTTGATGTTGAATGGGATACAAAAATATATTTTTTTTATACTCTTATCGATGCAATCTATAGCACGATTGATGAGTTTCCTTTTTTTCACATTTGCTGGGCTGTAATTCCAGAGTGAGAACCCAGAGGTAAGACAAGGTCAAAAACACATGGCAGATTGTGCATCCCCTACTAACCCCAGAAAACCTAAGGTGACGTATTTAGTCCTCCTAGAGAACATGCTGTCTTGGGGCTTCACATTCTGCTTGATAAAGTTTGGGGTGATTTTTGCTTGTGGTTTTTTTTACAGATGCTTGAGTGGATTTTTTTTTATAGTTGAAGAATAACTAAGGGTTACCCAAGAGAATACCTTGTAGAAGTAACGAGTGGTAAGCTATAATTTGTGTAGTAGAGGACGGATTTTGTTCTCTTGATTATTCTTAACAGATAGTAAAAGATAACAAGCTAATGTTTTTATGTACTGTTCGGTAACCGCTTTACTGGCATGACTCTCTCAAAGTGAATTAGACTTGCATAATAACTTTGAATACATATACTGTTTTATCTTTACAGTACAGTATATATACAGCATGCTCTTCAAATTAGCTGGGATTAGGTTCTCAAAATGGCCGCGAATCGCCAAAGCCGCGAATGACAGTTGCTGACCAGTGGGGGGAGGGGGTGGTGCATTTTTGCTTGTGTACAAAGAAATGTATATTCCCTTTGTGTTTGCCTTTAGGACAATTATTTTGTTTATCTGTATTGTATATATACAGTCAACCCTCGCTTTACGCGGTCCCACATTCCGCGTTTCCACGTTTATGCGGTACCCTGCCGAAACCGGAATGCTCACATTCCGCAGTGCGTGTACCCCTTTACGCGGAGAGCGGCTGGCGAGCCGCGCCATTTTTGGATCCAAGCCTCCCGCCCTCTCCTGCCATCCGCCATGTTGTGTAAGCGGCGCGAGCAGGGTGCGCACAAGGTCGCCCAGTCATCAAAACATTACCGAGTTCTTCACCCGCCACCCACTACAGCCAGCCCAAGTCAGTGATAGTGATAATGATAGTGAGGATATGGACTTATATGGACTTTGAGGGGTTTGACAAAGAGGCCTTGCAAGCCTCTGTGGTGGATAGTGATACAATTGATACAGGTGAGGGCCAATAATCTGCCTTCTGCCTCGGAACCAACCCCCCATCCCCGTGTGCCCAGCCATCTTTTCTACTAATGTAAGTGTTAAAAAACCTAATATTATTGATATTTCTCTTAATTATTAATTGTGTGTGCATACCATCATAAAATTAAGATAATATTTTTACTACAACATAGTTGTGTCGTCAAAAAGTGGAGTTTGGGGGTCGGCCCGGTCTCTATTTCAATTAATCCCATATGTTATGTTGTTCACTTTACGCGTTTCTCACTTTCCGCGGTACCCTGTGGGTTGAATTAACCGCGTAAAGTGTGGGTTGATTGTATGTGTGTGTGTGTGTAGACACACACAAAACATATACAAATAAATAATAATGGAAAAATCCTCTGACAAATAATGTGAAACAAATGTATTAAAAATGTTGAGTCTACCCTCAAGTCCACCGAGTGCTTCATTATAGCATAGCACGGAGTGAACTTGAGGGTAGACTCAACATTTTTAATACATTTGTTTCTAATTATTTATGAGAGGATGGCTCCCTGTCCCGGCCACAAAAATGCCAGCAACTTTAAAATAACCCTTAGACATTCTTGGGTACATCCAAGGTGTCATCCGCAAATAATCGAGGTCTGCGAATTAAAAATCCGCAAAATTGAAGGGCATGCTGTAGTGATAAAATAGACTGACTCCTCCCCCTTTAACACAGAGATAATGCAGAGATTTTTGTATATTAAATAGTTCCTTCATCATGTACTGTACAGTCATCCACAAAAGTTCTGTCAACTTTCCTGCTATTTCACGAACCCCAAGATTCAGACTATTGATCCTGAAGCGGTAGACGATGATGCATTACATTATTCTGTCCATAAATGCTTCAGATTCCAGAGTCTGAAGCTTGGGGTTTGTGATTCAGGAGGAGAGGCAACAGGACTTTTGTGGGTGACTGTACAGTATAAGTATGTCATTCTTCATGTCTAGCTGATCTTAGCTGATTTATTACGACAACAATTGATGAAGGTGGAAAACCAATTGATTTTATATTATGTTCAAATGAACATTAATGGTAGGCCAATGTGTTCTAATTTCACTTGATAAAACTTTCTTGTTCACTGTCTCTTGAACTTGCTGTATATCCCGGCCCATAAGACGCTTCAGTCATTATAACACACTAATATAAATAAGGTTATTTTGGGGAAAAAATATTTTGAAAGCTTAACAGAATTACAATACAGTATGTGGCTTTATACAGCTACAGGTATCACTCATTTAGTGTTAATTCACTTAATGTTAGTTCAGGTTGGCGATAAAAATATTTTTGACAACCTTTCTCATTTAGCATTAGGTCAAAATTCTGTTTAGCAATAGCTTGACTCACTGAGAAGGGGGAAAAACTGGGGATGAGGTGACCTGTACGAAGGCATGTTGTCATTGCTACATGTAATGAAACTATAGAAGTTGTAAAAAAATCATTATAATATTCTAATTTGGCTTAAAAGTAAAGAAAATAAAATATAAAACTATAAAATAAGAAAAGTGAAGAGCAAGGGTGTGTATGTGTGTGTGGAGGCAGTGGGCTGTAACTTTGTCGTTGACTCGCCACCCAGCCATGCTCTCCCTCCTAATGTTACATCGCTGCATATACACAGTGCAGCGCGGCAGCAGCCATACACATCTACGAGTCTGCTGGGTGACTGCTCGGCTGAACTGTTCTGCATTGTCCAAAGGATGGTTTGAGTGTGGATGGAGCTATTTTTTGTACAGTACATAAAATATGTACTACAGGTATTATGTTTTATGATATGCCATATATCAATTTTATTGTTTATCATGGCGATTATGGTAGTTGGTCCACCTACCCATAGGTGGCGTTGGTTTACTGGAACAAGTGGCGGCCGAGCAGTAAGCAGGATAATATTCCATAAGTTAGGAGTTATGACATGTTAATATTTATAGGCTAATCATTATACCATTCTAAGTCTATAATTAGTTCCCCGTTATCAAAGCATAATATAAGATTGTGTAATATTTCTGGGTCATTTGGGGCTATACCTGACACCTCTGGAGTTTGTGTTTGGAATCGAATGTTTAACCTTGTGGACATTTTGTAAGGAAAAAAGTGTCTTGTGGGCTGGGCAATAAGGTATATACAGAACAAAGTTTTTCATGAAATCCTTATATTGCAGAGAAAAACATGAAGAATGATTAATTATGGATTATATAACTATACTGTATAAGGATTATATAAAGGTTTTTCATAATTATTATATACCTGTACCAATTTCCTTAATAAAATGTAACATGTTAAACCAATCACGTAATGCAATATTACACACACACACACACACACACACATTGTCTGTTATGTACCTGTATGGGAATTTAGTGATTTATTAAAGGAAGGTTGATGTTATGGCAGGTTTCTTCCTCTTCTTCCCTGCCTCTACCATGTTAGGTCTCCTATTTCTTCTACTTTTTCTTCATTGTTTTCTTCCTCCTCACCCTTCCTTCCTTGGACAATGACTTTATTAACACAGTTACTTAATTTTATTTACTCTATTTATACACATTTCTTACCTACTTACACACTTACTTACCTATACACTTGCTTTACTTACTTACACATTTACTTATCCTCAAAGCCAATTAACAGCTCAATAGCCAGTCTGATCTCTGTCACACACTTAACAAAGACTGGATAGAGAACAGACCGGCCAACCGACCGACCGACTGACTGACTAGTTAATAAGCTGACAACTAGTTTATGTAAGAAAATTTAGTTAAAGGTATTTACATGTTAACTTTTACTTTTATTCTCTTCACCACTGATCAGCTCGTTAGCCGCTTGGGCGATCGGTCACGTCTTTGTTACGCACTGTTGGCAAGTACTGGGCATGCACCGGCTCCTGAATGTACCTGAACCTGCTCCAGTGTTAGTCTTGTCTTGAAAGAGCTCACACTCGGTGCCGTCATAACACTTTCTGGTAGGTTGTTCCAAGAGTTCACAACTCTCACTCCGAAAAAGTTTGCCCTCACAGTTTTTTGGACTTGCAGTTTCTTCAATATTGAGCTGTGACCCCTTGTGGGGTGAGCGTCCTCCAGTTCCAAGTAAGGACACTCAACTGAGTAGTGCCCCTTGAGATGCTTATACACCTCAACTAGGTCCCCCCTTGCCCGTCTGTAGTATAAACTAGGCAAGTACAGGCGCTCCAATCTCTCAGGGTAGCCGAGGTGCCGAAGGGCTGGCACCAGTCTTGGTGGCCCTCCTTTGAACATTTTCAACCAACTGATAGTCCCTAGCATATCTCGGGGACCAGATGGGGTGACAGTACCCCAGATGGGGAAGCACTTCACTCTTGAAGATCGTTACGAGAGACGGACCGTCTAGATATCTGAACGACCTTCTAATATGTCCCAATAATTTATTTGCCTGATTTACCTTCTTCTCGCAATGGCCCGAAAACTTCAGCTCATTGTCAACATACACACCTAGGTCCTTCTCACATTCAGTCTCAAATAGTGCAGTTTTTTCATCCCGTTGGGACATATGATACGCCGCCTTACCGTTGGTACGCCCCAGGTGCATCCTCTTACACTTCGTGGCATTGAATCTCGGCAGCCATTTCTTCGACCATTCTTGGAGCCCACAGAGGTCCTTCTGCAGCTCTTCACATTCACCTTGGTTCTTGATTTCCTGAAATAACTTGGCGTCATCGGCAAACATTTGTGTGGAGGAGTGTACAACGTCAGGCCTGTCATTTGGTTTATAGAAAAATTCATATATGGAAGATGGGAATGGAGTGTGAACTTTTGTTTGGAGATGGGATCAATTAGGTGATTGTTTGAAGTGGGACTAAATAGTTTAGGTTGATTGGAGTGGGATAATGTGGTTAGATAAGGGAAGGGAATGGAGTGGGGGTATGAGATATTAGTTCATACTCAGGATAGGATGGAGAAAGGAAACTCACAATGTGCTCACTGTATACATATTGTATTGGATGTACAATGCAGCTTGTTGCTGGGTAGGTAGCATGGTAATAAGCGTTGAGCAGAGAGAGCTGGGTGGTGAGGGTGCCCAGAGGAGGGACACGCGGCTTGAGGGACGCCAAGGTCGCTGGCGGTCGTCACTCCACGAACCGGTGAGCCTGACCAGCATACTGTAATATGTAAAGTACTTGAGAGTATTATCAGAGATGCCGCATTGGAACATCTAATACGAAACAACCTTGTAAAAGATTGCCAACACGGTTTTATGCCGGGGCGCTCCTGCTTAACACAATTGTTCAAGGTATTGGATATTTGGACCCATATTCTGGAACGGGGTGGTAATATCGACAATATTTACCTAGATTTTGCCAAGGCTTTCGACAGTGTACCCCATGAAAGGCTGAAAATCAAACTGGATGGGTACGGAATTCGGGGAAATGTCCTAGCGTGGATAGAAGACTTTCTACATGACCGCAAGCAGTGTGTGGTGATTAATGGTACGAAATCGTTATCTGTACCTGTCACAAGTGGGGTACCACAGGGCAGTGTATTGGACCTGCTGTTGTTTGTTTGTTTGTTTCATAAATGACATGCCTGAGGTTGTACACTCCTCCATACAAATGTTTGCCGATGACGCCAAGTTATTTTGGGAAATTAAGAACCAAGCGGACTGTGAAGAGCTGCAGAAGGACCTCTGTGGGCTCCAGGAATGGTCGAAGAAATGGCTGCTGAGATTCAATGTCACGAAGTGTAAGAGGATGCACCTGGGGCATACCAACGGTAAGGAGGCGTATCATATGTCCCAACGGGATGAAGAAACTGCGCTCGTTGAGACTGTGTGAGAAGGACCTAGGTGTGTATGTTGACAATGAGCTGAAGCTCTCGGGCCATTGTGAGAAAAAGGTAAATCGGGCAAAAAATTATTGGGTCTTATAAGAAGGTCGTTCAGATATCTAGACAGTCCGTCCCTCGTAACGATCTTCAGGAGTGAAGTGCTTCCCCATCTGGAGTACTGTCACCCCATCTGGTCCCTGAGATATGCTAGGGACTGTCAGTTGGTTGAAAATGTTCAAAGGAGGGCCACCAGACTGGTGCCTGCACTTCGGCACCTCAGCTACCCTGAGAGATTGGAGCGCCTGAACTTGCCTAGCTTATACTACAGACGGGCAAGGGGGGACCTAGTTGAGGTGTATAAGCATCTCAGGGGGCACTACTCAGTTGAGTGTCCTTACTTGGAGCTGGCGGATGCTCGCCCCACAAGGGGTCACAGCTCAAGATTGAAGAAGCTGCAAGTCCAGAAAACCGTGAGGGCAAACTTTTTTGGAGTGAGGGTTGTAAACTCTTGGAACAATCTACCAAAGAGTGTTGTGACGGCACCGAGTGTGAGCTCTTTCAAGACAAGACTTGACCAACACCGGATCGGGTTCAGGTACATTCAGGAGCCAGTGCATGCCCAGTATTTGCCAACAGTGCGTGACAGAGACGTGACCAATCACCCGGGCGGCTAACGAGCCGATCTTTTGGTGAAGAAGATAAATGAAAAGGAAAAGTAATCAGAGACGTGACCGATCGCCCAAGCGACTAACAAGCCGATCAGTGGCGAAGAGGATAAAAGTAAAAGTAATGTTTGGAGTGGGATCAAATAGGTAATTGTTTGAAGTGGGATTAAATAGTTTAGAATGATTGGAGTTAGATACTAATGTGGTTAGATTAGTAACAAGTGTAAAGTTTGTATGTACATAAGAGTATCATTATAGTTAAGATTAGGCACCCCAATTTATTTCATTTGATGATTAGACATTTTGATGCTACCTGGAGGATTGTTAGGTAATTATTGTTCAATTTCTCGTGATGATTAGTTGCCCTCGCACTAACCTAATCTAAACCCTCTAGGTACTGTTAGAGTGTTTAATCATCAGGTGAAATAAACTGGGGTGCCCAATCTTCATGTGGTGTAGAATTGTAGTGAAGATGCGAGTGTATTATAGGAGATGAAATGCATAGAAAGAGGAGGATTTTTTGAGAATTAAATGTTTGCAAGGTATCCTTCCATATTATTAGTCCTCTTCAATAACACTGTGTTATATTAAGTGATTTTTAGTAGTTTTTAGGTTGTTGATACTGAATTCAAGTGAAAGTTAATAGGTGTTTTTGGGTGTTAATACTGAACTATAGTGAACTTTAACAAGTTTGGGTTGATTTTGTTTAAATTTGATCCAGGGAGGATTAATTTTTTTTGTGAATTTTGCCAAGAATTGTTAATTTTTTTTATTTATATTTTTACAGATTGGGTTGATTTTTTTTATCTTTACCAAGATTGGGTTGATTTTTTTATGAATTTGATTGAGTGTTGGTTGATATTGGTGAATTTTAGTCTGCCTTAGCTTCTCGCAATTTTTGTGTTGTGAGAATTTGCCACAGAGCTTTTATTGATGGAAGACAGTAAGAGAAAAAAGTGTCGTGCCATGAGAATGATAAATAAACAAAAGAAGTAGGTCTAAAATGTCTGCCTTGAGGATGATATAAACACAAAAGGAATGGGTCTATGACGGTAGATATCATTTCTTGAGATAGTTGACAGCAAGTTGAACCATTTATGGCTGGAGGTGAACATTTCTAATAGACATTGGCTGTGTAGTACTGTACATTGCTTTCCAAAACACTGTCTCACACACAAGTATACTGATGACGTATACAGTCGACCCTCTCTAATTCGGACCCCTTTAATCCGGATTTCTGATAATTCGGACGAAATCTGAACTAAGCGAGGGACTGTCCATATCAAATTTCTGGTTCTGGGATTGTCCGATAGATGGCGCGCGCCAGACCGCCAGTCATTGTTGACTTAGCGCCATATTCGAGTATCAGTGTTGTGTTGCCCTGCAATTTTCGTTGATATTTCAGTGATTAGGCATCTTTCAGCTTTGTATTTTACATCATGTCTTCAAGAGGGAGTACCTCTAATATGCCAAAGAGGAAGTATGTGACCCTCTCTGTGAACCAGAAACTGGAACTTATATGGAAGTTAGAGGCTGGTGCCTCGGTGGCTAGAGTTTGTGACGAGTATGGCGTTAAAAAGCAAACAGTTTCGGACATATGCAAGGCTAAGGACAAACTCACTGCATTTTTTTTTAAATATAATGCAATATTATGCAATATTAACCCCTAAATCGGTTAATTCGGACAGTCGGCTAAAACGGACACCCTTCCCCCCTCTATTAGTCCGAATTAACGAGGGTCAACTGTACTGTATCTTCTGTTAAAAGACGAGCACCTACAGCACTTTCATTATCATCATCAACGTTTTTACAGCCATTTTCCACGCTTGCGTTTTAAAACTCCTTCCTCAAACTCTTCACACTCCCCTCACCGCTTCCATGGAGTGTTTTTTAATTGAGTATATCACACTTGCACTGCCTTCCACACCACAGCCAATTATCATGAGTACCTGGTAACCTATGAAATAAAAGTTGTCAAATTCTAAAACATTTTAAAGTTATTGGCTAAAAGGAAGGAATGTTTGTTTTTATGTTATTTTTATTTTCAGGAGGAGAAGAAAACATTGAAGGAGCGGCTACAAGTTATACAGGAGGTGACGGCGACTGTCCAGAACGCGATAGGCTTCATAGCGTCCATCTGTGAGAGTTGTAAAAAGTAAGTTTCTCTCTCTCTCTCTCTCTCTCTCTCTCTCTCTCTCTCTCTCTCTCTCTCTCTTAATTTTCTATTGCTTTGCTTTCTCTTACTCTCTCCCTATTCTTTCTTTTCTTTTTCTCTTCCTCACTTTCTTTACTCTTTGTTCATCATATTTTTTTATCTTGTACGCTATTTGTTATTTTGTGTCAGAAGTTTGTGTTCCGATGTTCTTTTGTTTCCTTAGTATTAATAAGTAGAAGTACAGTACTGTATTGAAGTGAGAAGGTGATGGTTCTACTACACATGGTTAGGCCTTTGTTATTGCCTTGTACTTTATTATTGTTTGTCAGTGTGGATAGACTGTCTAGTTGATTTATTGACATCCATCCTCGTTCAAAATTTCCAAACTCGTGAATATATACAACCCTAGTATTTTTCACCTGATGATTAAACCCCCTATTATGCTAACCTAAGGCCCCCCGACCTCCCATTCCACGTTAGGGTGTTAAAACACATAAGGGGAAATAAATAAGGATTCTTCGTCTGAAAACCCTAACCAAACTGTGGTAAATAAAACACTTGGTTGCTACAGCCAAGCTTTTCTTGACTCATTTCACTACATGTCTGAAATAACACAAAAGCAAATGTTGTAACAATTCAAAGAGGAAACAACAATGAACATAATATAACATGGTGGTTTATCCTAATAATGAAATAAACTAAAATGATACTTACAGACAAGAACAAAATAATATTACAGAATTTTCCTTAGTGATTTTTTAAAAATATCGCACTAACCTTACCTAAAATCCCCCACACAATAGTGTTAAGGTGTTGAGGCATAAGGTGAAAGATGTGGGGGTCCTTATTTTTATGAGATTTGAAACACCTGATAAGAGTCCATGAACTTAATCAATACAGCTTAGGTAGATTGATGCTCGGGTAGATTGATATTCTTATACCAAACAGAATCTTTCTAGACCTTATACTGTACAGTAATTAATTTATTTCCGACTCCCTCACACAGCACCTTCAACTTCTCGGTGCCGTTCCTTTCATGGCTGTTGATACTGGTGTTGATGGTGGGGACAGTGATTCTGTACTACATCCCCATCCGTTACCTGGTGATGATGTGGGGCATCAACAAGTTCTCACGCAAGTTGGTGCGCCCGCACTCCGTAATTAACAACGAAATATTAGACTTCCTATCTAGAGTACCGGATGATGAAATATTGGTAAGAGTATCTTTTCGTTCAGTTTTGTTAAGAATTACAGGTTATTTTGTAACGAGTCCTGAATAATCCTTTATTGTACTCCGTTATAGTATTATACAGTATAAAAAAATTTTTCCTAGTTTGCAGTTTATAATTTTGAGTTTGTAATGAGTTTGTTGTTCGTATCATCAATGCTTTATGTAACTTAAGACACCTGGCATAAGGTAATTCTTTTACTTTTTACTTTTATCCTCTTCACCACTGATTGGCTCGTTAGCCACTTGGGCTAAAATGTGTTTTGTGCTGCAATAATCAGTTAGTTTATGTCAAGTTAGTATTAATAATTTAAGACTTCCATTTGTCTCTTTTCCAACTTCCAGCGTGACTGTCGTGAATTACGTCCGATCGCTCAGTCCCACCACGACGATAAAAGAAGAGAGCATCGGAAAAAGAAGATGAATTAATGCCCTGTATCAGGGACGGCTATGTTACGGTTTCATTATTCTTCCCTCTACCCCCCCCTCCCCCCCGGGTGCCTCATATAGCGATGAATTAGGATAAATATTTACAGGTAACGGGGAGTAAGGTACCCCACGTTGATGGACTTCTTTTGACACATGAGAAACAAGACTGAAATCAAGGAAGAGGAAAGACTTAAGCCAGTTATGTGGCTCTTATGTTATTCACGATAATTAGTACATAGTTTATTCTTCTGGAAGCTGTACCTCATTTGCCTGGGGACAAATATCACGTGAACTACTATAGATAACTGGGTAGATAGAAAACTGAAGTCCTTGTTAAAAAAAAAAAAACTTTCATCAAGTCTTGTAATAGATTAAAGTCTTCATAATAGAGAAGTTATCTTAGGAGATGCTAGTTAGTCAACATAATATATATAAAGATGAAAAGATTCCAGGGTCAGACTATTCCATGATTTACTGCCAGATCTGCTGGAATCTTGAGAGTTTAATCTTTTCTGGGTTTAAACTACGATGTACAAGAATATTAAAAAATAAAAAAGTAGAATCCCAGCACTGGTGGATTCTATTTTCAGCAGCATGATAGGAATCCAAACTTTTATGCATTTGTATGATTGTATTTACTTGTTGTTGTTGTTGTTATTGACAGTCTTTCATATGTCTTTGTATTGCCATTTTCGTAACAGTTTTATAGGAGTTGATTTGACGTACGGCGATGATACGAATGAATGTTTGAAATAATGAAATTGACTATTAGTGAATTTCTCTCAACTCTGGTTAACTGCATATTAAGTGAGTCTTTATAATTTAGTCATCCATCAGTCAGATCACCACCACTTTAAACATGGGATGCTTCAGTGTTGGTGCATTTAAAACAAAACACAAAGCTTTATCTGTAGATTGTGAGGAACCCATATCAATGCCTCTATAATGATTGTTAATGTTATTCATTATCATTTAACATGTGGGGCATCGTATTCTAACATAAAGCGTTATTCAGACAATTATCATATCCTCTCCTGTACATGAACCAACAATCAAATGAGCTTCAGTAATGCATGGTGTCAGAATATGTTACCCCAGTGTATTAAGATGTACTATAGCCAAGTTTGTCAAGTACAGTATTGGATGGTGGTGGTGCAGTGTAGTGTAGTGTAAAGATAGCATTTCTTTTTCTTTATTAAATTTCAGATTATTTCCATACTATACACTACATCAACAATATATATATAAGGCGAGAGATATTCCCCAGCGCCAGGATGGTAGAGTTTGTAGCTATCGGGTGGTAAACAAAAGTTTATCTTGGGTAGTCGAAATTGCTGCAATTAGTGCCAAATCTAAATTGGGAAATCGCTAACAAAGTTTATATATACGTATATATATTTGCACAAATTGGGACTGAAATATATACATAACAGTTCCTTCAACAAATACAAAATGTGTATTGTTTGATATACAAAACATAAATTAAATAGTTATATACAGCAGTTAAATTAAGAGTTCAAGGTTGTTGTGATTCTCAGGTGGTTGTCTGACACATTCCCGGGAAGTTGATCGCTCTTCCTCGGACTGTGACCACGAACTAGATGAATTTAACCCATAGGAGCAACCTTAATTAATGTCAGTATTCATGTTTTGAGGATGTATTTCTGACTGGTGTTTATACAGTACCTGTAGTTTGAAGCTTCATGTCTAAAGTTTTATATTATTATCAGTGTCGAAATACAATGTCTGAGATTTTTTAGACTGGTTTGGGATACCTATCTATGTCACCCAGGTTCATACAAAGTTTATATAAATTCAGTGTAGAAGTTTATGGGGGGAGGGAGAGGAATATTGGTTGCCTACTTGAGGTCTGGGTAGTCCTTCTAAACCCTGGCCGTAAATTTTCTGGATTACCTGTAGCAAGAGTGATCAAATATCTGGCTGACATAATGATAGAACTTGAAATTTAATAAGTTACATACACAATATGAAGTGTATTTTCTACCCAAACATGAATACTGATGTTAAATGAGCATCTTCTGGTGGGTTTGGTTTATTTTATTCATATTCACATTTGAGGAGGACCCCAAGTTGATATACCTTCTTCTTAGATGTACTGACTTGTCTCACACCTGCCGGAGCTCTTCACATTATTAATTGGATGGGTGACGTAGCATAATATATTTTCGAGGTTGTTGCTGTACAATTTCTTCAGTCATAATATTGAATAGTTCTTTGGTTGGCAGATCTTGTATAAATTTCATGGTTTTGTATACAAGATTCCCTTCATTTTTAAGGGAATCTTTGATAAAAAATAATAGTCGTGTTTGTCCACTACAAGCTTGTCAACTGTTATCTTCTCTATAAAGGATTTTTGACACTGACAATGGACCACTGTCAGTACATGAATTTCCCCCACTACTATACCAGAGAGGCTGATGCACAAGTTAACCTCAGTTCTCCTGGACACTACAGGTATCATCAGATATATATTGTATATATATTTTAAACTGCTTTATACAAGCACAAGTGATAGATCTGAATGGTAACTGCTAATGACCCCACATATAATCAGTTTTATCATAACTGTAAAAGCTGTATCTAGTCACTGTCTAGTATTATTTCTGTAAAGCCACTGAAACTTTGCATCGTCAACAGTTGGATTAATTAAGAGGTGACACACGATGTACCACTTTTGACCATTGAATTTTTATAAATTTTTAAAATTGTGGTCTGTAATAATAGTTGTAAAGGCAACAGAGTTGATAATCATATCTTGAGTCACTTAGGTAAGGAAACCTTATTTTGTTTGTTATTCTGGTGATGGTGGTTGATTACTAGTGTGTTGTAGCATTTTTTATATCGAATGTGTATGATTAAATATTTACCTGTGATATGCAAGGTTGTTAGGGCATCATGTACTTTACTTTAATTCTTCTTTTCCTTAATTGCTTTATCTCTCTCTTGGAATTCATGAGATAGTGAAACATCCAAGAAGATTATTGGATAACTGATATAGTGTTCATAGGAAAAGGCAGTCATTGGTTAAATTAATAGGGTTTGTTATTAAGGTTCAGGATAAAAATATATATTGGTTGTGTTGATATAGTGTACCTAAATTAATAATTCCATTCGGTTGTTGAGGATTATCACTGGACTCCATAACCCATGAGATTTGGATTAATTCATGATCCAGGAAGTGGTTGGGCTACAGTAGTTCAGTCACTCCCTACTGTTCCTCTCTCTCATCACTTGACCTCTTTTTACCAGGTCAATACTCACACAGTATCCCTTTTTCTGTTAATTAAAACGTTTGGAATCATGATTTAAAACAAGAAGACCTGATGTTAGTTACAAAGCATAAAATTCTCAAAAATGAATACCCTGTATTGTACATTGTATAAGGTGCCAGAAAAATACTGAAGTGACATTACACTTTTTATTCACTATTGTGCATAACTTTACAAAAACTACACCAATGTTTCAGGTATTTTTTTTAGTTCTTTTGATATTCCATAATGGCAACAACTTAAAGCTAATATTTGTCTTGTCATATGAGACTCCATTTTGACGTGAATTACCGGTAATTTCAATTAACACTGACATTTTCATGGCATTTTATAGCAGTTACCATAAGTATTACATTTGTTGAAGCTTCTGTTGTAAAATGATCTACAAATTCTGCCTCAAACCACTGCTGAAGATTGTCCATTGTTGCAGCCAGCTGTGTTTAGCGACCACTCACACTGTTACTCACCTGAAACACACAATATAAACTTCACTTCAGTTTTATCTGGTCCACTTTGTATCCAGGGAAATAACTTGTAATCCTTTACCTATACAAATATGGCATGATATTTATTATTAAACAGTATATATAAAGTATATGGTATACTGTATTCTTTTTTTACATTTTTGGAGTGCTAGACTTAAAGGTTTCTCATATAAATCTAGTGGTAACTTTTATCATATGAAGACAGATTATAATAACTTACTGTTATAGCTATACTGCCCAAGTGAGAACTTGTAAACTAAAAAAAAAAATATGTATTAATAAAACAAATACTACTCATATAATTAAAGTGGATTGTCAACAAGTATACACAAAACTTTCTCCAGTTAGTTCCAAAAAATATTAGAATTAACGTAATTCTCCTCTTATGAAGAATTAGATAAACTATGGTTTCGAAAAGTGGCTCTCTCTCTCTCTCTCTCTCTCTCTCTCTCTCTCTCTCTCTCTCTCTGGGAATCCAATTACTACTTCACTTCTTCCCATTACCAAATAGTCATTCCCAGTTCTTCTTCATCTACATTATAGGAAGTATCCAAGGGTTGGTAATGAATTGGTATATTTATGTATTTATTGAACAAACTGTTAACACTTGCAGCAAATTCTGATGTTGAATATTTTTTTTTTAGAGTATAATTTGTTAAGTGGTGATGGACGGGGTGTTGAAAAGAGATGTAATTGTTTTGTATTTGGGATACCAGAACTTTCACTGTGGCTAGAACATTCAGTAATTGTTTAATTTTTATATAAACCAGGATATCAAATTTTTGTAGTGTTATTTATGTATTGACACTACTGTATATCATACAGTGCTCTCGGGCTGTAGTGTGAAAAATAGTGTAAAATTTATAGTTAATTCGTTATGGATTATGTGGCATTAATTTGGTAAGTTTCAGGATTGATGGTCAGTTATTAGTTGTATTTCCACTTCATGTTTGGAGGTGTGAGATACAATACTGTATTATAAGTCTTATTGATCCAGTCATTATTAAACTAGTCTACTGGTAAAGTAATAGTGGAAATATAGGCTATACTTAATACAGTATTATTAAACGTGGAAAATATTATTTAATGTTGAATCATTGTACTGTACATTATATTTAACTAATTTAGCATAGTGACTCTTACTTTGAATCTCTTAATAATTATCCTATTAGAGAAGCAGAACTGTATGCATCCTATTTATCATACAGAATTGTTACTCGGTGAAAAGTTTATCTACAAGTTTGAAGATCGTGAAAAAGGAGGAAGACCTTATTTTTATAATGTTATAAATATAGATACCTACTTGTACATTAAAATTATCATACAGGTTACCATTGGCTCATTATGTATAGTTGTGAACAAGTCCTGTCGCATTCTATGCTGCACTGAACCTTGAGATACAGACTCATGACTCCGAAGCATTTATGAGCAGGATAAATGAATCTGTGTCTACTGCTTCTGTTTCATGAGTCTGAATCTCGAGGTTCGTGGAGCAGCAGGAGATACGACGAGACTTCACCATAGTAGTAAATTCAACCCAGAATAACTCGAGGAAGCTGTTTAATGTTATCTCCCTATAATATACAATATTGAAATGTCCACCTTTTAGTTGTAACACACTGTCCGGAGATAAAGCAACTTGTACTCCGATATGACAGAAGATGCGCTTAAATAACACATAAAATTTGATATCCTGTCCATTTTGTAGGCGAGAGCACGTCCTAGAGTCCGCTAATACGCCACCCTGGAGACCCCCTTCCTCCTATGCATGTCCTCCTCCAATGTGTTGTCCTCACTCCATCCATGCGGTGATATAATTCTTATTTGTTTGTAAACACCGCTGCCATTTGGTGCCACTGATAATAAACATTGTTTCATGTTCTCTTTGATTATCTTATACTTTAAATAAATATCTTTTCTAGCAAATATCTTGTTTCTCTTTTGAAATCCTTCCATCATCAATAATTTCAAAGAGTAAAGAGTAGTGAAGTGTTGGTATACTTGGATGAGTTAGGAAATTAATTTATATATATCTGGGGATTATGAAAATTTAGTGATATTGTTTGGGTATTTTAGAGGTTGTAGCTAAAAACTTATTGGTGATAAGTGTGAACACGAGTTTGTGGAGATGGAGCTTGGCACCCTTAACGTTGTTATATATGTGTATGGTTATATGCTGCGTTTATTGATTATACAGTATATACATTATATAATATGTTACTTCTTTCCAAAGTTAGAATGTGTTTAGGCCTGTGTTTTTACGAATGTGTTAAGCACGTGGTATGACAACAACGACAATAAACCACCTGAATAAGAGTCAGCATGTGGCTTCTCATTCTCCCATTAAATCAAGTAAGATACTACACTGACAACGAGGATGAGATTTACAAAGTGTTGAAGTCCTTGAAGAGAGGATAGTGACCACTGAAGGGAAGGCTACTCTGAACCTGGAGAATTTAAGTGAAGAGAGCAACCATGGCTGGCATCAGTGGATACATCGGACGAGTGGGGGAGTATGATCCAGACAAGGAGAACTTCACATCATTTTGTGAGAGAATGGACTTCTTCCTGGCAAATGAATTAATGGACGACGGTGGTGATGCTCAGAAGAAGAAGGCCCTTGAAGAAAAAAGGAAAGCAATCATTTTGACAGAGGTAGGAGCTGATGTTTCTTCTACTCTGGTCAATCTGCTTGCTCCAGACAAACCCAAAGACTCCTCACTGATTCAAATTACCAAGATTCTGAAGCAACATTTTGATCCTGCTCCACTTGAGATTGCTGAAAGTTACAAATTTGGCACAAGAGATAGAGGGAAAGATGAATCGGTTAGTGATTATATAGTAGCTTTGAAGAAGTTATCCATTCACTGTAACTTTGGACAGTTCTTGAACCAAGCTCTGAGAGACAGGTTTGTGATAGGTCTGAATTATGATAAAATACAGAATAAGTTGATGAACACCACTAACTTAACTTTTGAAAAAGCATGTCAGATAGCTACAAGCATGGAATTAGCAGAGAAAAACACCAGAGAATTTGTTCCCAATACCGGTAGTGACACAGTTGGCAGTAGTGGCTCCGTGTGTAAAGTAACTAGTTAAAAGGAAGAACTATGCCACAAAACAAGGAACACATGCTGATTTAAAATGTAAGAGATGCCTCGGGAAACATGAAAGCTTTCAGTGTAAGTTAAAAAATTCAAGATGTTACAATTGCCAGCGTATTAGACATATTGCTCCTGCCTCTGAGAAAGAAATTACAGGAAATGAAAAACAGTATTCATGAGAGAGTTAGTAATTTTGAACCTGATAATGATGAGAGTGCCCATGTGTTTACTATTTACACCAGTCATGAAGAGAAAGTTAAACATAGGTATAATGTGGACTTGTGCATTAATGACACACCTGTAACCATGGAAGTGAATACTGCAGCTGTTTTCTCCATAATGAGTAGAGATATGTATGAGAAACTATTTGCACATGTGCCTTTAGAAGACTCGGGTGTCAAGTTGAGAACCTATACTGGAGAGATTTTGAATCCCTCCAGTACAAAAATCAGAATTTGAAGCTGCCTTTAATTGTAGCTAGTTTTGTGAATAGACCAACTTTGTTTGGTAAGAACTGGTTGTGTGAACTTGAGATGGACTGGAAGGAGATATTTAGTGTTAGAATGTGTAACAGTATTCCAGGTCTTGAGAAATTGCTTGAAAACTACAAGATTTTATTTGTTAAGGGACAGGGTGGTATAAAGGGTTATGAATCTCATATCACCATTAATAAAGATGTTACACCCATATATGCTAAGTCCAGACCTGTTCCTTATGCATTGAAAGGTGAGGTTGAGAAGGAATTAGACAGACTTGTGAGTGAGGGAATTATTGTGAAAACCACCAAGAGCAATTGGGCTGCTCCTATAGTAATTATATCTAAAGCTGATAAATCTGTTAGACTATGTGGTGATTATAAAGTTACCATTAATCAAGCTGTTGAGGATGAGCAATATCCCTTACCTGCATCTCAAGATTTGTTTGCTGCACTAACAGTTGGAACTATTTTCACTAAGTTAGACTTGTCTCAAGCATATGCTCAGGTCTCTGTTGATCCTGAAAGTCAACAGTACCTTACCATCAACACTCATAAAGGATTGTATAAGTTCAAAAGTTGCCTTAAAAGTACACCAAAGTTATTTCAGTGCATCATGGACAAAATTCTTGTGGGTCTTCCCAATGTGTTATGTTTTCAGGATGATGTCCTTATTGTTGACAGTGACATTCAATATCAGGCTCAACAAGACCAAATGTTCATTCCTAACTAAAGAAGTAACTTATCTTGGCTACAAAGTGAAGCAGAAAGGCTGAGACCTGTAGAAGATATAGTAAGAACCTTAGTAAATTTACCTGCTCCAAAAAATGTCAGTGAATTGAAAGCTTTCTTGGGTATGATACAGTATTATTCAATTTTTTTGAGTGGACTTTCATCAGTTTTAGCCCCTCTGCATGAACTGTTAAAGAAAGGGATTCTATGGAAATGGAACAGTGCAACTCCGAAGTCATTTGAAGATTGTAAGGCTGCTCTGTCTTGTACTGATGTTTTGGTTCATTATGTTACCAGTAGAACACTAAAGTTTGCTTGTGATGCATCAATCAGGCTATGGATTATGTGCTGTCATAAGTCACATAATGGATAATGGTGAAGAAAGACCCATTGCATATGCCTCGAGAACTCTTACCCAAAGCGAGAAAAATTTGCACAAATAGGAGAAGAAGCTTTGTCTATCATATTTGGAATAAAGAAATTTCACCAGTATTTATATAAAGACGAAAACTAAGGTTCTCCATTGTTTCCCTTTTCCCTGTGTGATTTTATCAATATATATATATATATATATATATATATATATATATATATATATATATATATATATATATATATATATATATATATATATATATATATATTGCTATGCCGAGGCATAATTTCGAATTATAATTTTGTAAACGAGGTGTTTTGATATTTTCTGTCCTATGCAGCAGTTATTTTTGGTAAATTTAATGACATTTTCGTGTATAGATGATATTGTGTAAGAATATTCTGGAATATATTGCATCATCTTTGTTCTGATTTACCTCTTATTGTAAGCCTAGATCATTCTAGAGTTCTCCAGGCGGTCTCGAGATCGCTAGATTGTTCTAGGCGTCTGACGACAATTGTTGTGCAAGTATTGTGGAATTGTTGTGATTAATATGAAGTGAGGACACTACGGAATTGTGCTCTTGTAGTGTGATAACTATATATTGAAAGTGTGGAGTAAAGCTGTGAAGCCATTACCCTGTTACGGTGTTATGAAGAATTACTGTTTATTAAAGAAGACTACAGTGCATAAGAGTGTTTCTGTGACCTGGTGGAAATCTACCTGCCTGTTGTTTGTCTGTACACTAACACCAATCGTCGGGGAATTACCGGAGACTGGCGGGACAGCCAGTGGTAATTCGACAACTCTTGTGATATATCTACTGCTCTGTATATACGACCCTAGCCGTTGGTAACCAGTGGTTAGCGGTGAAAGGAGGAGGGTCGTACCAATATACTGTAAATGTGCAAATAAATCGCTGTAGGTGCGCGTGATCCATTTATATGCTGATCACCACATAGGAAACAAGAAGACACGAAGTTCCCAAGTGCTTTCGTGTAATTCACATCTTCAGGGGTGAGTACGCACTGATGAGTTATTATTGACAAGGCTAATATATACAGGAAGGGAGAGTGAGAGCAAATTCCCAGGGACAGCAGGTGTCCACCATATTCAGGTCATATGGTAGTGCCCTGTCGCCCTTTCACCGAGTTACAAATCTTCTTAATCACAAAATTGTCCAGTTTGTACATATCATTACTCAAATTCATGTTGACAGATTCGGTATGTTTAATGAGACTAGATTATATAATGTTCCTACTGACAATTGAATTACAAGATAATATTGAAGAGGCATTATACCAGTCAGTGCAATGCTTATTATCTAATTTATTTATCTCATATCAATGAACAGAGTATTGGATTCCTGGCCTGTCCTAACACTATATATATGTTGTTTAAGTCTAGTTATAAGATCTTTACCCGTCTGGCCTAAGTAGAACATATTACATTCCTTGCAAGGGACTTTGTAAATGCAGCCACCTGCATTGTTGGGGGAGTTCTTAATTAATATTTGTTAATTAACATGCTTATTTTCTTACTTTATTTTCACTAGTGAGTTCTGATATTGCAATAATTTCTTGTGCAAATGTGTCGTTTTGTAGATAATTAGGCGCCTAAGTCGGTACTAATTTGTCTTCCCGCCGGTGTGTAATGAGGCCGAGCTCTGCTGCGGCGTTTTTCCCGGCGGGGCCGGGGCCGGGGGCGGGGCCGGGGCCTGGGGCGGGCTCGTGGCAGTTTCAATTTCAGCACGTCGTATGAAGGTTGTCGCCTGTCTTATATATACGTAATTTGTGAATTTAGGGATAGAGACAACGAGACCCTTCATTCAATAGTTCAAAGACCACGGCATTGTTCCTTTAAATAGAGACTGTCCACACTGCGGGAGTAACTCACTCCGCCGCCCGGGCTCCATAAGCGCCGATGTGCTCATATCAAACCACGTCCAGAAAATGCCTCAAATTTCATCATATCATAGTAAGTTCTTTCTGTTTAATATACCGGGGAAGTTAGGTAAGGTTAGTTAGGTTGGTTAGGTCTGTTTTTCATACCCACGTTTATTTTAGAAATATCCAGTTTTTAACACATTTGCACAAGCTACAACAGTGTCCACTATAAAAAAAAAAAAACATTGAAAATCCGGCTTTTTTATAATCGTTTTCGGCCGCGGGTTAGTCATGGATAATGTTGGCTGGTGAATCTGTTGGCCAGGGAGGTGTTGGCCAGGGAGGTGTTGGCCAGGGAAGTGTTGGCCAGGGAGGTGTTGGCCAGGGAAGTGTTGGCCAGGGAGGTGTTGGCCAGGGAGGTGTTGGCCAGGTGTTGGCCAGGAGGTGTTGGCAGGAGGTGTTGGCCAGGGAGGTGTTGGCCAGGGAGGTGTTGGCCAGCCAGGGAGGTGTTGGCCCAGGAAGTGTTGGCCAGGAGGTGTTGGCCAGGAGGTGTTTGGGTGGTGTTGGCCAGGAGGTGTTTGCTGTGTTGTGAGGTGTTGGATAGGGGAGGTGTTGGCTGGCCAGGGAGGGGTGTTGGCCAGGAGGTGTTAGTGGTGTTGGTGTTGGCCAGGAGGTGTTGGCCAGGGAGGGAGGTGTTGGCCAGGGAGGTGTTGGCTGGGTTGGCCAGGGGTGTTGGCCAGGGAGGTGTTGGCCAGGGAGGTGTTGGCTGGGTGGTGTTGGCCTGGGAGGTGTTGGCCAGGGAGGTGTTGGCCAGGAGGTGTTGGCCAAGTGTTTGTGTTGGCCAGGGAGGTGTTGGCCAAGGAAGTGTTGGAGGGAGGTGTTGGCCAGGAAGTGTGGCCAGGAGGTGTTGGCCAGGAGGTGTTGGCAGAGGTGGGGGAGGTGTTGGCTGGGTGGTGTTGGCTGGGTGGTGTTTGGAGGTGTTGGTGGGAGGTGTTGGCCAAGGAAGTGTTGGCCAGGAGGTGTTGGCCAGGAGGTGTTGGCCAGGAGGTGTTGGCTGTGGTGTTGGCCAGGGTGGTGTTTGGGAGGGGAGGTGTTGGCCAGGGAGGTGTTGGCGGCTAGAAGTGTTACTAGGGAGGTGTAAGGGAAGTGAGCCAGGGAGGTGTTGGCCAAGGAAGTGCAGGGAGGTGTTGGCCAAGGAAGTGTTGGCCAGGAGGTGTTGGCCAGGAGGTGGGCACAGAGGTGTTGGCTGGGGAGGTGTTGGCTGGGTGGTGTTGGCTGGGTGGTGTTGGCCAGGGAGGTGTTGGCAGGAGGTGTTTGGCCAAGGAAGTGTTGGCCAGGAGGTGTTGGCCAGGAGGTGTTGGCCAGGAGGTGTTGGCTGGGTGGTGTTGGCCAGGGTGGTGTTGCCAGGAGGTGTTGGCCAGGAGGTGTTGGCCAGGGAGGTGTTGGCTGGGTGGTGTTGGCTGGGAGGTGTTGGCCAGGGAGGTGTTGGCTAGGGAGGTGTGCCAAGGAAGTGTTGGCCAGGAGGTGTTGGGCTGGGAAGTGTTGGGCTAGGAGGTGTTGGCCAAGGAAGTGTTGGCCAGGGAGGTGTTGCTGGCAAGTGTTGCCAGGAGGTGTTGGCCAGGAAGTGTTGGCTGGGTAGTGGGAGGTGTTGGCTGGGGAGGTGTTGGCTGGGTGGTGTTGGCTGGGTGGTGGTCGAGGTGTTGGCCAGGGAGGTGTTGGCTGGGTGGTGTTGGCTGGGTGGTGGTCGAGGTGTTGGTAAACAAACAACAGCTGATCAGTCCACCACAGGCGGTGCAGGCGGCCGTGTGTTACCCTTGAAACACTCACAATTTACCGGTAATTAGTTTATGTTTGACCATTATTAAGGTAGTTATGATATGTACATTGTGGCATTAGTCTATAACAACACCTTAGACTGGACGTGATGGCCAGAACCTTTTACCCTGCGGTTTAAATTTCTGGTGGTGATTCAAACGGCTATATATTCTGGTGTATAGCATGACGCTTATATTTTATTCCTATTTACAGTTAAAAACACATATATTAACCTAGAAAATATACAGAAAACACAGTTGGTCATCTTTTTCGTGTGATTCTTGTTGCTTTTTTTATTACTTCTCAGTGGTTTGTCTGTTAAAATCTCGGTAATAGTTTAGTACGGGAGCTACTTATTTTCATCTGGTTTTGTATTGATAGATTGATATTCATTAAATTCATCACACAAAATTATCCTCCAAAATAAAAGAATTTGTTATTTTTTTGTAGTTCTTGTTAAAAATAAATTTGCCTTATCTACTGAATGATGCTAAGGTGGCACTTGAACTGTTCACAAATGCTCCCTAGCGATCAAATGAATGCTATGTTGTGACCTTTTCATACCTAACTTACGATAAAGTGAAATGTCTTCTACACGTGAATGTATTGTTATTTTTTACTGCTGTATATAATTACTATTGTATTCATACCATTACCCAGACAAGTTCAGTATTACTAGTACACTAATTGGTTTAACCTTACAGAGAGCACAATGTTTTGCTGGCTCAGGATCTTCGTTAAACCAAACCTTGTATGGGACTGTGGTTGTGCCTCCACACGTACGGCGGCAACTGCTCCCAAACAAGCCAAACGGATGGAATCTATACAGTTGAAGAAGAAGAGGAAGGAAAAGCAGAAAAAATCACAGTCGTCGGATTTCGGTCTGAACTCCCGGGAAAGGAAATCACTGAAGCAGAAGTTGTTACATGTGAGTTGTGTTGTGAAGCAGTGAGGTGGTTGTTGTTGTGTGTGTTTATGGTTGTAAGATGTGTTAAAAGTGTCTGATTGAGTGAAGATTAGCCACCCAAATTATTTCTCTTCATGTTATCCTAACTAACCTAACCAAATCTAACCTACTCTGAACTGACATAACCTGACCTGACCTGACCTAACTGAACCTGATAAGTATAACAAAATCTAATTTGACTTAAACTACCCTAACCTAATATAACCTTAGCAAACATATCTTAACCAAACTTAAATTAACCTAACTTAATCTGACCTGACATAACCAGACCTGGCCAGACCAAACCATCTTGATATAACCAAACCTAATCTGACATAACCTAACTAAATCCTTCTACGTTCCATTAGGGTGTTGTTCATCAGGTGTAATAAACATCGTGTCTAATCTTTATACAATCCTTAATAACTAATACAAAGCTCTTTTATCCTTTTAGATTAATTCCTAAAGGTAATTATGCCAGTAATCATGATCTCTCCATTAGCCGGAACAATTGATGCAAAGCACTTCTGGGAATGAGAGATTTCCGGGTAGCGAGACAATTCTCTCAAAGCCGGAAAAAAAATCCTCCATTCCCGGAATTTTCCGGGTATCAGGAAAATTTTCTCTGAATTTTCCGGAAAATGTGACCCTCGGAAAATCATTCCCGAAGCCAGAATTTTCCGAGAACTTTTCAATTCCGGGAATATATTACTATATTGATAGTTATGATTTTTTTCCAGGGTGAACAAGGAACAGTTGAAGGTCACATCTACAAGCAGCTGTATCCCTGGAAGACAAAGTACGAGTTAGCGGAACATCTGAAAAGTACACAAGTTTACCACAGTGGTGAGTTGTGGCTGAAAGATTGCATCACCTGAAGTTTGTCTCCTCACTCCCTCTCCCCCCAGCTTATTTCACCAGGAGGTTAACCAGCTTATGGCCCCCAGCTTACTTCACCTGAAGATAAACTTGCCTAATACTACCTTGATCACATGAAGTTTTGCCACACCCCCACTCCCCCAAACTTATTTCACCTAATGAATTACTACTGCAGTGTTAGGTTAGGTTAGCATTAGGATGGTTAATCATAAAGTGAAATAAGCCAGGGTGAGGGAGACTTATAATGATTCGCAAGATTCGTTGTCGTTTAACCAGAAGTTCAAGTAAACCATCAAAATAAGGTTAAGTATTTTATAATTATTTTAATTGTGTTGGAGAATCTTTTGATATATTTTTTTTTATGGGGGGAGGAGGGGTTGTTTACAGCATACAAGTAGTCAATCATAGGACTCATTAAGCTATTGTTACATATATAGTTATGAGGGTCAGTAAATCAGTCTATGAAGGTTCACAATTTAATGTTATGTAAATGTTTGTCCTGTTTAGTGATGGGAAACAACTCCATGCTTGTCATTTGACCTTCTTCACCTCCCTACCTAACTAATGTACAGTCACCAGAAAATTTCTCTTGTGCCTGGACTCCGATGGAGTTGGGAATGGGCAAATATCTCAGCCACTCATGGTATGTGTTGGATGGGCAAATCCTCATTTTTTAAACATTTCATCCTGTGTTCCAGAATGAAAAGTACAGAAAGCGACCTGACAATTTTTTTGTTGAATTTACCTCCCTATCTACCTAATACACCTCCCATTCTTCTTAATTACCTTGGTCCCTATTTACCTCCCTATATACCTAAGACACCTCCCTACTTACCTAATTTACCTGGCCACCCCAATTACAGGTAGCCAAGATAAGGAAGAGGGTTTTTTTTTTTTCTTCAAAGTATCTCATCTTTTATTCCTGTCAGATGGTCTTATTGCTCTAAGTAAGCCTTATGGAGTACCTCAACATAAGCCATCTGCTGCAACAGAAGAAGGCACTCAGACTACTATCGTACAGACTCTGTTTAGTGGCAGCACGCCCGACCACATGCCAGCAGTTCAAGACACGTTGCCCATTCTGAAGGACCTGTATGGTGTGGAGCATCTCGAGGTCGTCAAATCGACTGAGAGGTTTGTGTGATATGGTGGATTAGTCTGATACATACTTTAGGGTCGTGTTGTGGAAGGGAACGCATCTGGTACAGTGGTTAGTGTGAAATATGAGAGTATGCATGGCCCTCAGCAACCTAACACTCTAACAGGAAAATATTTGCAAGATTGTAACAAATTTATATATATAAATGACAATATTTTATCGGATTGATTTAGATCATCTGAACATTAACTAAACATAACACCCCCCTCCCCCCCAGGTAGTATTAGGGTGGTTAATCTTCAGGTGAGATAAACTTGAGGTACTAATGTTCAAGTACAGGTTGTACCTCTCTAGTCCGGCATTCTGTGGTCCAGAAACCCCCGTGGTCCGGAACGATTTTAGTTTGTCCAATAGGTAGATAGGCAGCCTTTTTTTTTTTTTTTTTTTACTTCTCTGAATTATTATTATTATTAAAGGAGTATTAAATTTTTGCCCCTCAGGCCCCAATGTGGGTCAGTGACCTATGCCGGGTGAATAATCCCAAATGGGAAGTGGGTTTGTTTACATCCGGCAGTTCGGCCGCTCTCTCTCTCTCTGCTTGTCTATACAGAGTACAAATTTAACCCTTCAATATATATGAGCAGTAAATAAGTGTTGCTTTCATATTCTTATGTAGAGTAATGACGATATAGTTTGTCCAATAGAAATAGGCAGCTTTTTTTTTTTTAGGTTTGTTCCGGGTGGGCTAATCCCCTTAAAAAAAAAAAAAAGCCGCGGGAAATTAAGGTTTGTTTACATCCGGCAGTTCGGCTGCTCTCTCTCTCTGCTTGTCTATACAGAGTACAACATTTAACCCTTCAATATATATGAGCAGTAAATAAGTGTTGCTTTCATATTCTTATGTAGAGTAATGACGATATATTTTCACATGTGCGCACTTACATACGAGCAGTCTCACTTTTTTTTACCATTAATGGTTAGCTACTTATATTGTTCCATTTATTAACATTAAATAACATTACAGGTACTTCAAGCAACCATATTCATTTTTTACATTAATTTTACTACAGCTAAACTCAGGGTCTTATTTTCTTCAGTTTTATATGTAGAACCAATCAGTCACTGGTTTCGTAAGCTTTAACATAAACAATGCCGGCAGCCGTCTCGTCTCCTCTAATATTCCACGTATTATTAATAAATTGTATTGTTAATTTTGCACACACGTACATTAATTCAATAAAAACAAATTCAGAAACATTAATTAAAATATATATGAACAGTAAATAAGTGTTGCTTTCATATTCTTATGTAAAGTAATGATGATATGTTTTCACGTGTGCGCATGCGCACTTACATATGCGATCTCTCTTTTTCTTTACCATTATCGTTAGCTACTTCTATTGTTCCATTTATTAACATTAAATAACATTACTTAAAACAACCATATTAATTTTACTACAGCTACAACCAAGGTCTTATTTTCTTCAGTTTTATATGTAGAACCAGTCAGTCACTGGTTTTGTAATCAACGAAAACAATGCTGTGTCATTTCCTCGTGTGTTTTAATATTCTACGTATTATTAATGAATTGTATTGCTCATTTTGCACACATAAACATTAATTCAATAAAAAAGACATTCAGTAATAAACAATAATGAATCTTTTGTACATAAGAGAAATGACGCTGTTTACACGATTATGCACGTCGTCTGCACGTTGGCGGGCCGTTCAAACCCGTCGAAATTCAAGTTTCCGCCGTCAAAATTTTTATTTATTTATTTTTTGTGTGTTCCAATAAAATACGTTAAGAATTAAAAACTCGCGAAATTTGAGAAGCTACTATACGACATTTAACCCTTCAATATGTCTTCAAAGAGACCATGACGCAGAGAAAGTGGTGCTAGTGCTTCCAGGCATAAGCACAAGTCACTATCTATCCAGGAAAAGGGTGAATTTCCATGGTCCGGCACCGGTCAGGTCCCGAGGTTGCCGGACTAGAGAGGTACAACCTGTATTCCATTATTTCTGCTTGGACAGGGTATTAGTGGTGGGTCACTGTACCATGCTGTCGTCTTTGTGTTCCTGACTTCACATAATAAAACTTGGGCTCCTGATTATGTTTTGATTCCAATGATATTTTAGTAGTTTTCATTATATATATTTTTATGTTATAGTTTTTCATTTTTATAAACAAGTACTGTTATTGGTCATTTTCCACTCCACCGCAGTGTTTATCTTCATGAGCTCATTTTCATTCTAGCTGTTGTAATAGATGTGTCCAACTTCAGTACAGTGTGGTGTTCCCTCCCACAACATGGCCCTAAGACTTCCAATTTCTTCCTGTCTCTGATTCAAATTTTGTCCTCAGATAAACATGTTGAACTTGTTCCATTTGGGAGAAGTTTATTTGTACTATAGAAGTTTATTTGTACTGTGGGAGGTTATGAGTTGTTGGTTCACACTCAGGATGGGATGGAGAAAGGAAACTCACAATGTGCTCACTGTATACATATTGTATTGGATGTACAATGCAGCTTGTTGCTGGGTAGGTAGCATGGTAATAAGCATTGAGTAGAGAGAGCTGGGTGGTGAGGGTGCCCAGAGGAGGGACACGCGGCTTGAGGGACGCCAAGGTTGCTGGTGGGAGCAGCAGCTGCCAAGCTGGCGCGGAGGAGGAGGTGTTGCTTGCTGGTGGCACTGGGTAGAAAGACAGAGGCTGGTCACAGCGGTGTCAGGCCTTATAAGGCGGGGGTAGGCGTGGGTAGATAGTTGACCCCTGCTCCGTGGGCGGCGCTGGAGGCGTAGGCTGGGGAATTCGAGAAGGTTCGGTGCTTGTAGGGGAGGAATCCACTACAGTACTATAGAAGTTTACTTGTACTTTAGAAGTTTATTTGTACTATAGAAGTTTACTTGTACTATAGAAGTTTACTTGTACTATAGAAGTTTATTTGTACTAGAAGTTTATTTGTACTATAGAAGTTTATTTGTACTTTAGAAGTTTATTTGTACTATAGAAGTTTATTTTTACTATAGAAGATTATTTGTACTATAGAAGTTTATTTGTGCTATAGAAGTTTACTTGTACTATAGAAGTTTACTTGTACTATAGAAGTTTATTTGTACTATAGAAGTTTATTTGTACTATAGAAGTTTACTTGTACTATAGAAGTTTACTTGTACTATAGAAGTTTACTTGTACTATAGAAGTTTATTTGTACTATAGAAGTTTACTTGTACTATAGAAGTTTACTTGTACTATAGAAGTTTATTTGTACTATAGAAGTTTATTTGTACTATAGAAGTTTACTTGTACTATAGAAGTTTACTTGTACTATAGAAGTTTACTTGTACTGTAGAAGTTTACTTGTACTATAGAAGTTTATTTGTACTATAGAAGTTATTTGTACTATAGAAGTTTATTTGTACTATAGAAGTTTACTTGTACTATAGAAGTTTACTTGTACTGTAGAAATTTACTTGTACTATAGAAGTTTACTTGTACTATAGAAGTTTATTTGTACTATAGAAGTTTATTTGTACTATAGAAGTTTACTTGTACTATAGAAGTTTATTTGTACTGTAGAAGTTTATTGTACTATAGAAGTTTACTTGTACTGTAGAAGCTTACTTGTACTATAGAAGTTTACTTGCACTATAGAAGTTTATTTGTACTATAGAAGTTTACTTGTACTGTAGGAGTTTACATGTACTATAGAAGTTTGCTTGTACTATAGAAGTTTATTTGTACTATAGAAGTTTATTTGTACTATAGAAATTTAGTTGTTCTGTAGAATGTTACTTGTACTGTAGAAATTTACTTGTACTGTAGAAGTTTACTTGTACTGTAGAAGTTTATTTGTACTATAGAAGTTTATTTGTACTTTAAAAGTTTACTTGTACTTTAGAAGTTTACTTGTACTATACTTTAATTTAATTTTTTTTGTCTTGCCTCTTGCAGATGGAGCAGCGGTCTTATTCTGTTGAGTACCTGTTCAAAACTCACCGAAAAAGTCCAGAAAAGTTTAAGACGATCTAAGGCATTCCAGCAGCCGCCCCAAACATTCTGGGCAGTGACTGTGGGTGTTCCCAGGCCTGTAACTGTTGCCACAAAAACTGCCATCAGTCTGGAGTACATCAGCGGTATAGGCAAAGTGGTGAGGCTTTCTTATTCATGTTATTTTGTCTTCTTGTTATATTGACAAAAATTATCACACTGCTCTGACAGGCTAACCTAACCTAACCTCACTGCTTCCCTCAGTCTTCTACATGCCTGTCAGTAAGATACAACTCTCAAAATGGTAGATTCTGCATTAGTAAGGCATATGGAATACCCAAAGAATTTCCATCCCAGCTTATTTTACCTAAAGATTAACCATCCCAATGCTAATCTAACTTAACCTAACCTGACCTACCCGGTAAGCTAACCTTATGCCCCCCAAATATGTTCAGTGGGTCAGGGAAATTCTTAGGAACGATGGTGAATCTTGTATGAAAAAATGACATCGATACCCTGTTATAAGCTTCCATTGCTCACATCACAGAACCTTATGTTTATTCCGGTCTTGTTAATGCTACATGATATATATTTGACTAAACTGAGGATAATTCAGAGCCATAAATTTGAATGGTTACTTTCAGCCTGTCATCCAGAAGAAATATTCCCAAGCAAGTGTGAGTAGGGGAGAAGCCAAGACATCTGTGGTGGAGCACCGAGCTCTATTGTACAACAAGGACACTGATGCTTCACTTGTCGAGGTGAATCTGTTTTTATTATTGTTATTACTTTGAATAATGTATTTCGGTGCTTCTATACTGTGTGGCCTATAAAGATATTTACATATTTAATACTGTACCTGTATTTGATTACTGTATACTGTACAGTATAATATGATGATAATAGTACGGTACACAATAGACAGGAATTTAACTTACCAGCAAAGACGTTGATTACTGTGTGAGAAGGTAGTGACCATGAGAATTTGTAATGGGAGTTACTGGGAGGTGATAATTTACAAATTCCATAAGTTTATAACACTGAGGATGATATTGTTTTTCATTCACCAGGTGGAGTAAGTTTCCAAAGAGAAAAGTTATATATCACTGTTCATATGAAGACTGTTATCTGCTTTACTCTTTGTTATTAGTACTGTAGTTTTGAGGCCACATCACTTCAGACTTATTAAGAAGAGCATTGTGATAATTCGGTGTTCTTTGTATTTGAATCTCTCGTGTAAGTTTGAATTATGGAAAGTATATTTTTCTTTTAAACCAATGAAGTGTTCTGATAAGTTTGTAGCACTTCAGAGATTTTAGTCGTAACACATGGGTTTGTTTCCTGAGTCCAGGCTGGACAGATGTGGCTATGGGGCTTCTTCTACTGTGATAAGATCTCAGTTCACTCATATTTTTCCTCATCTTTGACAGGTTAACATCCAGACTCTTAAGTGGCATTTCCTGAGGGTGTGGCTCTCCCACAGTTACTCCCCAGTCCTCGGTGATGCCATGTATTCATCCAGAGTAAAAACTATCTCTGGCAAGAAACTACAAGTCAGCCCACACAACCTTACGTCTTACGAGCCGCAGGTGTGTTATTGTCCACAGATTTAGATTGTTGATTTCTATATAACCCAAATTTGTTCTTAATATTCATGTTCTCTGGTTGTTTACTGATGAGTTAGATGATGACAATAAGTTGTTTAATGAACAATTATAAATAATACCCTTGGCAGTAACCATCAGGTGTGAAAGGAAAGATGTATGTGACTGGTTTGAGAAGTATGATGTTGTATGGCAGTAAAATATGGGCAGTAATGAGCATGACATACACAGGCTGATCGAACTGAAATGAGAATAGTGAGTGAAGAGCAGTGTATCACTGAAAGGCAGGAAACCCTGGGTATTGAGAATATTACATCAGAGTAGTTTGGGCATGAGGAGGGGAGGAAAGTCAGGGGTAGGGTAAGACTGACACAGGGAGAAGCTGTAAGAAATGTAATTGGAGTTAAAAACCTGACAAGAGGCTGCAAGAGATCGTACACCGTGGGGAGTTGCCATCAGCTAATCACGGTTAACCCCAGCAAGCATGGACAATGGCTGTAAAACATTGGTTATGATGATCTTGACAGTATGTGTATGTTTCCTTGTTGGTTCCTGTTTTCAGTATATATGGTACAGGGTTCATAGTATTGTTGAATTTATGAGTACAGTAATAGGATGAGGGTAATGTAATTAGCTCAAGTGATGGTGTAATTATCAAGACTGCTTCATTACCAGTTGTTGAATATATGATTATTTTTCTTTGTGCAGTTTATACCAGCGGCCCTGTTCTCAAAACTGGAGCTACCAACAAAGGCTGTAGAAATGATCCCCTGCCACTTACATTTAGCCAAAATAAAACTTGCTCGGTTCAACAAGGACAACTCCGATCTGATCATCTCGGCTCCACCACCAAGTTACTTCATGTGGACGTGCAGACAGCTGGGTCTCATGTCTGGTGATGATGGCGTCACGGAGGCAGACAGTGAGGCAACACAACACACCTAGACTGATGGAACAGGACCTCCATAAACTATTTTACATGTTAGTTGCATCATGGTAGAATTTAATAAAAGCCAGTTTATTATTTTTGTTGTAACAGTACTCCTTGTTATGAATGTAAATAAAAGTTAAATTTCTGTAAAAAATTATTCTCAAGTATATGAGTTAAAATATGTGGTTTATTTTTACACTACCCTGTACTTCCACCAGGAGATTGTGTGTGGCTGGAAGACCTCCTACCCCAAGTGACCAGGACTTACTTGTGTGATATTTGTAGTGCACGTAAACTGTAAACCATATCCAATTACAGTATACAGAGTGGAACAGTTGCTGTGTTTCTCAGGTAAGAGTTTTAGCACCTTGTGACACATTCCCTGACCTTATTTTACCCATTTACTTGCCTAGTATAACACTGGGGAGATGGATTATGTGTTGTTTGTGATTGAACCATCAAAATGAAATATGGATCACTGGAGGCAAATATGAAACTATCTGACAGCCTTATCTAACCATACGGCGAAACAGAACAAAGTGTTGGTGAACGAGAACTGACTGTAAGCTGACAAACACACTTAGCCACAGCCTTTGTCTTAAACTAACCAAAAGAATAAATGGTCAAGTGATCTGATTGATAACCACACAGCTGGGGTGGAGATTCTTCAGGTGATTCCTTTGTCTAATAATTGTCCTATTTTCCTGTAATATTTTAATTTTAAGACAAAAGGCAGTGACTGTACAGCAGTAGTAGAGAAACAATCATAGTGGACAAAATTTCCGCATTCCTTGGGAGAAAACGGCGATACCACTGTTCTTGGTCAGATTTTTCTCCTGAAGCCTGAGATTCAAAGAAAACAGAAACTGCGGGAGTTCTTGTAGTGGATACTCTCCCCTACAACTGCTGATTGGTCACTTGCCGTCCGCTTTCCAGCCAATCAGCGGCGAGTTCTACAAATCAGCCCTCGCATTCGAACTGCGCGGTGATTGGTCAGTTGCCGCCTTCATATCAGCCACTCGGCAGCGTTTTGCATCTTTGCACTTCGACTTTTGATCCGTCGGAAAGATATAAATACCCCCCCCCCCCTCCCTTCTGCCTCGCCGTAAGGTCAGACAACACCAAGCTCTTAAGCAGAGAAGACCTCTAAAGATGCTCCTCCACAGCAACTCCTCTACTATGCATCAACTTCCCAACACTTGACTGCTCTGTACATATAATATATATAAAGAAAACGCCATTGTGAGTTTCCTTTCTCACCTCCATCCTGAGTGAGAGATCTCCCTTATTGTACGTGTGTATGTGGCCATAACAGAGAATTTACATGCACAAAGATAAGTTAGACAACTGTCCACATACACTATGCTACATTCTTGGCCAAGCTTTGACTATTAAGCGTACCGTTTAGGTTTTATAATATTTATAATTGAAAGACATTGATTCGGTTAAAACAATTTATTAGAAAACATTTTATATGATTTTCATGCAAATATTTTATATTATTTTTTGTACATACAAATTAAAATTACAGATAATATTTAATTTGAGTTTTGTTTACGTCCGTAGAACGTGGATTCTCAAGTCTCACGAATTATTTGGACAAGTGACTGAAACATCCCTTGTGTTATAAAGTGGGAAAATGAAGTGTGTTGTGGAATTTTAAGACAGCCATTTTATCTCGAGGAAAGTCTAAAAGGATAACACTTGGACGACCCATCATTGTTATTGGTTTGTTATGAGCGACAATTGGAAAACGATTTTTTTTCATAATGTTATACTCCATTTAATAGTGTTTATATCAGCTTACATCCTTTATCCTCACTCTGAAATATTCTTCTGTTCATTCATGAATTTGTAATTTAAAAGTAAAATACCCACCTTAACTTAACCTCATCCCCGAGATAGCGTTAGGGTGGTTAATCTTCATGTGAAGTAACCTGGGGTGATATTCTCCAGGTGATCCAAATATTTGACCGTAACTCTGAGAATCTGATGTACCAGTCATCCTCAATACATATGCAAATTAGAATATTAGCATCTGAATCGCGAGAATATTCCCCCACAATTACCTGATTCAATATTCATTGAAATTCTATTGGGACGGTAAATAGTCGTTTCATGAGTCTATATTAAATCGTGTGTATTTCCCCTCCTTTAAAATATTTATGTTGTTCAAATAAATTTATAACCCGTAAAATTTGGCCTATAATTTATAATGCGCTGATTTGTAGGATAACTAATCTAACATTAATAACTGCATAAATTTGGTTTGTATCGTATGGAATTGATTATTTACTGGTCAAATAATTATGAAAAATGTATAGAAGTGAAGAATCTAGATATGCAGTTGCAGTGTGTGTGCAAAATTCCTCACGTGCATCTTGCCTGTTTAAGGAAGCGGTTCAAAGATCACGGCAGGATGGGCAAAGGGAAACAGAGCGTAATGTTCCTAAAATCACCTTTATTTTCAATTATTCTCAATAATTATCGAATTTATATGATTAGTATATCCATAATAAACTCCAATTCATAATATAAGTGTAATAAAATCTATAATTATTAGCCAGGAATTAGTATTTTTATTGGAGGTACGTGAGAGTTAGTGTGGAGGTCAATCAACTGGCAGTGAGCGTTGAGATGAGTGAGGTTCAGTCAGGTGGCGCCTCACGTCAACAACAGCGTGTCAGTCTGTGTGTGAGCTCAGGCTGTAAGGGATGTGGGCGTGTCCGTATTGTGTTGACAGCTGCTGCCTGTACTAAACTTTTCCTTATAACTACCATCTTTGATAAGTGTCAAGGACCTTAAGACAGTGTAAGAAAAACTGTCAGTGATTGTTTTGATTAAGTTAATGTGGAATAACTGTATTTTCCCGTTACTTAAACAGTATTTTCCCATTATAACAGTACTGAAGTGAAAAAAGTGACTATTTTACATACATAGTTACTGATGCGTAAAAATTAATTAAAACTGAAGATTATTACACATACAGCATTGCAGATAACGGTGCTGAAGATGATACACTGTTGATTCTAACGCGCGATTGGAAAATGTGCATCATAAACAAGCGGTGTTAACTTGTTTGGTTCGGTCACACCTGCTGCTGATTGATAACAGGTATGTTGTGTTCTTGTTCTTTGTTATCTGTTATCATTGTTTCCGTGTAAGGCGTTGTAATAGATGTACTTATTGTTCTTAAGTTGATAGGATTGCAAGTGCTGATTGTCGATAGTATTGCAGTGCAGTTGACCGTATCGAGACACGTTCCTATTGCAACTAATTTAATGCCTCTACGTACATTTATTGCAAATATTGATAGCTTTGTAATGCATTTAAACGATACAAAAATACCTTTACAAATCATTCTAATAGAATCGTGTGTTAATAGGATTTTAAAATAGTTATTTATGGTATTTAAAGGAAATTACAGTAAATAGCTAGGCCAATGTGCAATTTAAAATATTACTATTGGAAAATAAAACGTTAATTACCATAGATTAAGTGCGGTCACTTGAAGTTTGGACATCCATTTAATTTCACCTGAAGATTAGACACCCTAACGCTACTTGGGGTGTTAGGTTAGCATTAGGGTGTCTAATATTCAGGTGAAATAAACTGGAGTGTCTAATATTCAGGTGAAATAAACTGTGTCTAATATTCAGGTGAAATAAACTAATATTCAGGTGAAATAAACTGGGGTGTCTAATATTCAGGTGAAATAAACTGGGGTGTCTAATATTCAGGTGAAATAAACTGGGGTGTCTAATATTCAGGTGAAATAAACTGGGGTGTCTAATATTCAGGTGAAATAAACCCTAACATGACCTGATCTTGAACCCTGATTTTTCATTCTTTAATTGCGTGAGTGTTGTGGTTAGTAGGTAGACTAGGTTAGTGGATAGGGTAGAGTAAATTAGAGGGAGGAGGGTAGGTTAAGTTAGGTCAGGGGTTAGGTTAGGTTTGTGGGTAGGGTAGGTTAAGTTAAATAGGCTCGCTATGTTAGGTTTGGTTTGAGGTATGGTAGGTTAGGCTAGGTCAGGTATATGTTTTGGGTCCAGGAAGGAATCGATACCGCTTTGTATATACATATTTCTAAGCCAATTATGATTCTTTAATATGGAAATACAATCTTAGTTATGGATATTGAAACTCAAACGAAAAAAATCCGCCGCGGTCGATTGAATGTTGACAATTGTAGTTCTTGTAACGAGGCTACCGCGAAATGCTTCAAATATTTTCTTGTGATTAGGTGGGGCAGCGCGGCACCTCCCTTCCTCCCTCCCTTCCTTCCTTCCCCCTTCCCCTCTCCCTCCACCTGCTTCTTCTATTTCACCTCCTTCATTCCCTCCCTCCATTTCCACGGACAAAGTTTTACCTTGAAAGACGAACGAACATTGCGGTGTTATGGAAATCAGAAGTGGTGTTTACATAGGGAATGGGCCTCATAGAAAACGGATATTAACGTTATACTATTGAAAAAAAAAGGCTCTCAGATGTTTGTTCGTGATAGGTTAGCGGGCCGACCCCTTCTCCTCCCTCATTCCTTCCCATTTGGGTTTTATTTTGGCATTATGGTGTAGTTTACATAACCGTAAGACTTTTATGGTATTTATTACATTAAACGAGATGGGCGGTAAGTAATAGCATAGAAAATGGTGTTGCTGTCATATTTTTGTTGAGAAATTGGTTTATAGACTGATTTGTTCGTGGTGATAGCGGCTCGTCCCCTCCTCCTCCTCCTCTGCCCTCTCCACCCCCTCCTCCGCATTCTCCATCCTCTGTCCACCTTCCCCCCCTCTTTGCCAATTCCACCTACTTCCCCCTACGTCTCCTCCTCCGCCTCCACAGTGCCTTCAACCTCACCACCACAATCTTGTTAATTTACTCCAGTAATTACCAAAATACTCCTGTAACTACCGTTCTGATTATTTCCATCCATGTACAGTATATATATATATATATATATATATATATATATATATATATATATATATATATATATATATATATATATATATATATATTCATAGAGTTTATTAATGCCATTGATTATCACAGAAAAACAAATGAACACCGTAACTCCTGGTTTGTTATTTCATCTATAGCGACTGATTTGTTTATTTCGTTTATACTCGTTTAATTTATCGCTGTAAATACCAGTTCATTGTTCCTGTTATTACCGGT